ATTAGGTTAAGTGACAACAAGTAGTTATGATTGGGTATAAAAAGAGCATTCTAGTCTTTCTGAAGCAAAGATAGATTTCAAGCACTCTGTGAAAGACTAGCTGGCAAATAGTTCAACAATTTAAGGACAGTTTTTTTTTCAACATAAAATTCCAAAGAATATGGGAATTTCATTGTCTGCAGTACATCATATCATTAAAAGATTCAGAGAAATCTGTGTACACAAGCCGAAATCCAATATTGGATGGCCACAACCTTAGGTCCCTCAGACGAGACATTAAAACAGACACGATTCTGTAGTGGACCTCAATACATGTACTGAGGAACACTTTCAAGACAGTATGTTGTATGTTGAAACTCTACCATGCAAAGAGGAAACCGAATATAAACCAGATCCAGAAACGTTGCTGCCCTCTGTGGGCCTGAGACTGAGGTGGAAAACTGTCCTGTGGTCTGATGAGTCAAAATTTTAAATTCTGTTTGGAAATCATAAGTGCACAGTGTAAAAGCCAGCATCTGTTATAGTATAGGGGTGCATTAGTGCACATGGCATAGGTAACCCTCAAATTTGTGAAGGCACCGTTAATGCTGAAAGATATGGGATTTGGAGCAAGATATGCTGCCAAGTAGACGATGTCTTCTAAGGGAAGGTCTTGCTTCTTTCAGCAAGACTATTCCAAACCACGTTATGCACATATTACAATAGCATGGCTCTGTAGCAAAATATTTGGGGTGCCGCTTACAGTCCAGACTTGTCACCCATTGAAAATGTTTGCCACATTATGATACATAAAACTGCTGAGAAGTCCTGAAATCCTACATCAAGCAAGAATGGGAAAACATTCCACGCTCAAGATTCCAGCAGTTGGTCTCCTCAGTTCCCTGACGCTTACAGAGTGTTGTTAAAAGAAGAGGTGATGCAGCAGATTGGTAAACATGACCCTGTCCCAACTTTTTTGAAACCTGTTGTGGGCATTAGGGATGCAACAATTACAGATTTTGTTAATACGATTATAGTCTGATCAAAAATCACGGTTCATTAATTAATTTCATCAATAAACACTAGTAATAACTGAAGTTGATTTTTAATATTTAATTACACTAACAATTCTATTTCTATAATATGCAAGATTATTAATATAGGAGGAATATTAACTACATTTGTCCCCCAGGGGAAATTGTTATTGAAGAGGGTAATAAACTGATCTGTTATTGTCATCACCTCTCATACATACATATAAATTTTAGTGAAAATGATTGAAACATCTCTCATGCAGTGTTATTAATAATTGAAATGCACATTTGGTAGTCCTGGGCCTGGGAGTATGTTGAGCCTGAGATGAGGGAAACTGGGTTTTCTGTTTCAGAGAGCGAGATCCGATAAACTGTAGATCAGTAATTCCAGCAACTGGTGCTGTGAACCTAACCTTCTCAGGAGGATCACAGGATAAGTTGAAAAAACATCTGTTTCTACTTAACTCCTCCCCTGATCAGCTGTTCTATAACCGAAAATTCAGATTTTTCAGCTCAGAGCTCAGGGATAAGCTCAGAGTTTGTTAAGCCTGCTTTCTGAAACAGGGCCCTGGAAGTCCATAAGCTCATGATGTTTTGTTAGTGTTTTACACCTGGCAACATTTTCTCAACACAGACAGGATGTAACGTTAAATGTTCAGTGACTCAAGGTCTTCCATAAAGGCCCTTTCAGAAAAGAAGCGATTTGCAGTGCGTGGAAGCTGGGTTTAGCGCAACATTGCACTGAAAGCCCAACTCTCACGCTACGGCAAATATTATAAGTGACACGTTTTATATTTAATTCCCTACAATCATGCCACATTATCTAACTCAGTTATTATTTATAACCTCTACTTGGGCAAAGCTGGGTGCTGATCCCGCAGGTGCTGCATCAACTTGAATGTAGGCTAGATATTCACTCCTTTAGCAGCAACCTTTTAACGGCAAGTTTTTGAACAGGTGATCCGTCATCTTCAATAACTCCCTGGTTGTTTGCCAACTTCAGTCGTTTCTTTGGTGGAAATAAAGCTTCACAGTTTGGTCCCTCTGCCATAGTTTAGCCAGTGTGTCTCTGATAGCACGGCACTTTAAGCTGGTGCACCGCTTGTGTAACTTTGTTTTCGTTTCGTGCACCAGAAACACTCGCCTTTACGATTAATTAACTGTGATGTTTTAAAGTGCGGTTAATAGTGAAATCCGGTAATCGCTGCATCCCTAGCTGACATCAAATTCAAAATGGGCATATCATTTTCCAAAAACAATGAAATCAGCATTTGATAGGTTGTTTTCGTGCTATTTTTATTTAAATATGGGGAAATGGAATTTTTCGGATGCACATCCATGCCAGCCACAAGGCAAGCTGAGGTATTATTGTTAATAAAAATGTTGTCTAAACTGATTCTTTTAGTCTGGCAAAAAGTATGAGCCCGTATTTGAAATTGTTCGGACCTCGGCAGGGCCAGAAGGTTGACTTACTGGACCTCTTGCAATTTAAGTTGAGCACCCCTGGTTTAGCCTAAGCATTGCTCTGTTCTTACTGTTTATGAACTTATGAAACTTTAGTGGTTTGCTAAGGTTTTTAACAGGCCTATAATGTATTTTGACCTCTTTGGTATTTCCTTTTATAAAGCTAGATCATTGATCTGATGATTGTTCTGGCTTTAACATAATAGTAGCTACTACAGAGGCTGAGCCAGACCAGGTTTGGGAGTGAGATGCTGCCCCAGTCTTGACAGAGTTCAAGTGTCTCGGTGTTGTTGAAATGGAGCATGAAGGGGAGGATAGCTGCTGCTCCTTCGCATCAAAAGGAACAAGTTGAGGTGCAGTTAGCTCAGTTGGTAGAGTGTGCGCCTCATGTACAATGCTGATTCCATATTGCAGCAACCCAGCTTTGATTCGAACATGCAGCCCTTTGCTACATGTCATCCCCTCTCTCACTCCCTCTATCTCTGCTTCTCTGTACTTTCCAAATAAAGGCTAAAAAGCCCCAAAAAATATCTTAAAACAACAACAAAAAACAGTAACAAGTTGAGGTGTTTCAGGCCGTGCATCAGATCACAATGTCTCCTGGGCGCCTTCCTTTGTAGGCTTTCTGGGCACGAAATGTATATAAAACAAAATATAGCTGGTGTCAAGAAATGTAACAGCCACCTCACAAAAAAGACAATAATAATCATAATACAGCAATTCAACAAACTATTCAGTCTTGCACTGCATAATGGGAAATGTCAGCCATCGGCTACAATATTTTAATCTACATTACAAAAGGGCCTAGGTTGTAAAATGTAAATGGAAAGATGGTTTTAACTGCTACACTGTTGACAGAATCAAAGCCACTAACACAACAGATGAAATGGATTACTCATACTTGCACTCTTTGATGTCAGTAATACATGCGCTGGTGATTTCAGCATTTTTATATTGTTTTTACTTGAATGCTTCAGTTTTAAAGACCTAAAATAAGCCTGTTTACAGTAATGTAATTTCTAACAATTAATATCCTGTTTTTCACTATTACCGTTCAGCTCCCAGCCTGTAGTTGGGAAGCACTGGGGAGACTTTGTTTTTCACCAGGGCCAAAGTTGATGCTAACTTCAGGGCCAACCCCCTCACTCTTTCTTCAGCAGTTGGCAAGCAACACACAGGAGCTCTGCTTTAGCCTTGAAGCTGCAGTCTTTATTCAATATCCCTATTGAAACTAAAGGGATTATTTTTAGGGCCCGTTTTCTTTTTTCTGCAAAGTAACCTCAATTTTGGTGGCGTAAACATACTCAAAAACTCACCAAACTTTACACAAAATTCAGGAGTGGCGAAAAATTTCATATTCTATGGGTTTCGTGCATGGGTGTGGTAAAATGGCTCGCTAGCGCCCCCTACAGAGCAGCCCCCGGACAATGTTTAACCTACGTGTATGAAATTTGTGTGGTATGTGTATCATGTCCAGACGCACAAAAAAGCCTCTTGGAGCCATTGCCTAAACCAAACAGGAAGTGGTAATTTTTTGCGATTGACACACTTTGTACTTTAATAAACTCCTCCTAGGGATTTAGTCCAACCGACTTCAGAATTGTACTGTGCAGTCTAAACCCATTGACAATTAAAAGTTGTGCGAACGGTGAGTTTACGTGAAACGCCGTTCCTGTGGCGTGGCGTCCAAATCGATGATTCGCCATAAAACAGGAAGTTGTTTTAACTTCAGTGTAAATGCTCACATCTGCACCAAACGTGACATGCTTGATAACAGTCCCACCCCGAACACATCTACATGATCAGTTATAGTCGTAGTGCGAAGTGCTATGTAGCGCCACAATGGGAACACCTCGACGCATTTCACGTGCGAGGGCCCACCCAACGCTGCTTGCAGCTTTAATTTTTATCTACTTCTCCCACACGCTGCATCCAATGTAGTCTGCCGAAGCCTCCCTCCACTGCTTGTTTGGGTGGGTGATTTGCAGGCAGATCAACATCCCACCACTCCTGTGACCCATAGTTTGACAGTATGTCTATTCAGAACCAGTGAGCAACGGTCTTTCAAAATAATAATAATAATAATAACAACAACTCCCTTAACGTGAAATAAAACAATTGTCGGTCTTAATTAATGCGTTAATGTGATAATAACGTGTTAACTTGCCCAGCCCTAGAAACATGACATTAAGCTTTGGCTGGAACTCTTTTAATGACGTCACCTTGTTGTGTCCTCTTCTTCTGCGTTGGTTTAATGGCACCAAGTGGATGATTAGCGCCTGTCTATCTCCATCAACCAGTGAGCTTATGTTCACATAACTGAAGTGGATGCAAAAAGACATTAAACTTATAACTGAAATTTGATAAAAATATGCACTAGATATGGATGAAAACTTGACTACTGTTTACTTTGTGATTGTTGGAAATGTTCTCAAAACACTGTAGTGCCCTGTTATGCCTTTATTGTGCACATGTTGATTAAATGATGATCCCTAACTGTTACATTCTTTGTTCTTTTTTAAGCTGCTGGCCAACATTGTAATCTATGTTTGTGCCATCACCGTGGGTATCATGTCGTACTACATGGCTGACCGGAAACATCGGAAGGCCTTTCTGGAGGCAAGACAGTCACTGGAGGTCAAACTCAATCTGGAGGAGCAGAGCCAGCAACAGGTCACTGGACAAATAATACAATATTCTGGTGTTTTTATGTGTGAGTTTAAGGGAAAAACTTCACTTTTGGGGTCCTATACTTATGCCCAAAGTCAGAACATAAGATCACTATCAGTATAATCTCAATTTGTCTAGTACAGAGTTAGCCTAATGTCTAATTCCATTACACATAACAGACATGTTGGCCCCAAAACCAAGCACTTGAATCATGTGTTTTAACTAATCAGATGTTGTATCTGTTGTATTGGTGCGTGATGATGACTGCTTTCATTATTTAGAAAACAGACTTTTCATTTCCACTTTTTATGAGCTGGCATCAGGATAATTCAAAAGCAAGTTCAGTTTGCATGTTCATTTTCAGGTCTATGTTGCACTTTGTCTGCCTGTTTTCATTTCAAATTTGTGTCAGTAATTATGCATTTCAAACATGAAAGTGATTATAAAAATATTAAACTTTTAATTTGGAATTAAGTTACTAAACAAAAAGTAATTGACCCAAAAGTTGGTACATTGATGGTTTCCAAAGGATGACTTTCCTGAAACACTACTCGGGGCCGGGCAATAAATACAATTTTATTTTTAGTAAGATTTTGGCTTCTAACGATTATGAAAATAAGATACTCCAGATAAAACAATTATTGTTGGCATTCCTTTTCACAGAGATGCTCTGGTTTTGTCTTGTGGTATAAATCCAGCTCCCCTCCCTAAAAGCCCACAGTCCTCTCAGCAGGTATGGCATGTTGAGTTCAGCTCGAGCCCAGTTGACCGGGTTATAACTTGCTACTCACTATTATTAGCTTAAGCCTCTCCTCTTACACTGCAGAAATTAGCCTAGCGGCTAGCAGCCTTTTCCTCTACACATAGCTTAACAAATAATTTCTATACTTTGCTTTCAGCGTTGGTTTGAGTCACTGCACCACCCATGGCTAAATTTCAGTGTTATGTAACGTAGGGCTAGACAATAAAACAATAACCATAATTATTGTGATATAATTTTTTTTCATTAACAATATAACAAATGTTTAATAAATATTTGATTTTATTCACATGAATCATACACAAATTAGGACTTGGAAAAAGGCTTTTACTTGGTTTTACTCATGCGTATTTGTTGAAAAAGACTTTATCATAATTGTTTTGAATGTTCTACTGCAGATTTGTGAAGTGATCCACTGTTTGGCCTCAAGTGTTGACCACAAAGAAAAGTTTAAACCAAAATTAACCATTAGGTTTCTTCAACTTACCTCAGGAGCAAAAATCAGCCTTTAAACTCGAAAGAAATAATGATTTAATACTTATTGTGATAATTATCAATATCGAAAGATATGAAACTTTTTATCGTGATAACATTTATCATATTTTATATCGTCCAGCCCTAATCTAACGTAGTGAGTTGTTGTCAACTCCAGTAGTTCACCTGTCATCTGCTAAGCCCACATATTCACAGAGCACCCTCAGTGGCCCATTTGCCCTGTAACTTGTGCACGTCTCCAGAAATGATCGCTTCGAGTCTGCAAGATGCAATTCAGCACATGAACTTGGGAGCAGTATGTCGATCTGACAGGCAGGTCAGCAGCAAACTCCACACACCAGCCCAGGTGGTGGCGGTAAAATGATATCCTCCTCAAGGTTTGCTATGTCCTGATTCCAATTTCCTGGACTATTTCTATCCATTCAAGGACTGTTGGGGGCAGCTTATTCTAGTTAATATGTTTAGTCTACAGGAATTTAAATTTTTCAATCAAATATTTTTTAAAATTGAATTTATTTATCCTTTTTCTTTTGAGTTGACCACATTATAATTTTACCTTTGACCGCCTTGGGAGCAACCTACAATGTGCTGGGAGATACTGTTCCTTTGTCATTATAGGTCATATAGTCTCTTAATTCTTTCTTAATATACTCTTGGCATTGAGGGCTGTTCTGCAAGGCTGGTGTTAAGTCTCCATAAAGTTTCTTTAGGCTTGTGGTCTAGATGTGGTGTTAAATATGCTCCTGCATGGTCAGAAATGCCCCTTATCTGTATGTCGCATTTTAAAATCAATAGTCTTTATACATTAAACATAAAAAAGTATACGAATGATGGGCATGGCAGAAAAAAGTAAAACATCTATCAACTGGATGTAATTCCCTCAACAAGTCCATTATGTCCATTTCTTGCCAGAAAATGATATCCTGCTTTTCTCTTTTAATTTTTAGCAATAACGTTACTCATTTGAAAGGATTATGTAACCCTTTCACATTAAGGGTGATTACAATCTTTTTGTGATTAAAGCATTTCAGTCCTACAAAAATTAAACTTAACATGTAAACACACATGCTCAACTCTAGTGACTTCCATCTCTGAAGTATAAACTTAACTTCAAGGATAGATGGGTAAGACCTTGAACTAGAAGGGGATTACAATTTGTCAGAGATGTCAGTTTACATAAACAAACATTAATTCCCAGATTTATTATCGACTTAACATTACAGCAGGAAAATCTGTCTGCTCTTGTTTTGTCTTACGTGGTGATTCAGTCTAATATTACAGTATGGTTTTACTGACCACCTTAAAAATTTCTGACATTTGTAATACTGGAACGGTCTTCTGCAGTTCTGCAGTATCTCTTGTGTGTTGAAACCCCTTTAGATTATCCTGGATGTGTTTCAGGCATGCTTCTCAGTTCCAGCGTAGTGTTGCACCTGCTGATTCCCAGGGAAGTTGTCTCGGTCTCGCAATGGGTGTACATCTTATGGGGGCCTCCACTCCAGCGCATTCAAGGATCAAACCCCTTTTTTTCCAGGTCTTGGGTAGGGCTGTCAAATCCCACCAAATCTTACATAACGTTGGTCATATTCTGCCCTCTATGCCCTAACATTTTATTTAGGGGATGTACCAGAATATGTTTACAATGTTTAATAAAAAAAACATAAACAGACACATATTTTATCATTGTCATATTGAATATTGCTGCAGCACGTTTTCACCCTGTTGAACGCTCCATTTTAGCTTCGGAGTTAGGCATCTCACTTCCATTCGATCTGTGTTGCACATGCACTTCTGATTGGCTAGGTAAGTACTACTAGCCAATCAGAAGCAGACTAGGGCAGGTCCTGACAAGCAAGGTAGTATGATCCAAAACAAAGCTGGCTGGCCTGACTACAATCCGGTTGTTTACAGGTAGTTCAGGAGCAATGGAAACTGTCTTTGGAGTGGACTTTGCAAACCTATTGCATGCACAGTAAAGATATAACACATTAAGGAAAGGGAAAATGCCAAAAAGCTACAAAAGGGATACATTCACATGGTACATTCTGTAGAACTTATTTCAATTTTCTTTATGAGACGTTTTAGAAAATGTATTCACTTTTATGAAATACCCTTCAGAGAGGTCAGATGTTGCATCTGCAGTATATATCTATTTAATCTGGTCCTCTTTGGATAGTTCTGCACCTAGCTACCAACATGCACCATGTGAAATCTGTTCTTTCAAGTGTGTGTTTTAGTTTGTTTGGCTTATGTCTGTTTGAGCCTGTACTGTGTCAGAAGTCAACTCCCCTATTCTCCTCACATCTGTGGCCACTGGGCATTCTCAATCACACAGAGAGAGAGAGAAAATATATTATGGAGGAGAATATAGAAGAAAAGAGTGAAGGTGTTGTGTGAAGTGATAGAGGGGAAGAAGACAGCAGGAGGGCTGATAAAACCATGAGTGGAAGAAACTCCCAGAATACTAATGGAGAAGCACAGGGTGCTGAGAGACGAGGGCCGCCAACCAATCAAGGAGCATCCGGCTGCTGCTGATTACCATGGCAACCGGCCTACTGAGATGGTGTCTGGTGTAATCACAGAGGCAACCCGCTCAGAGGTTTGTTGCTTCTCTGCCTCTCTGTCAGGATTTACTACTAATTAATGAAAGTAAATAGTGTATATATTGTGGGGGCCAGCGAAACAAACTATAAAAAAATACCAAACTACTACTACTAAAAATAATATCGCTGTAAGCTGCGATTTGCGGGTTCAAACCTTTTCTCGCAATAGCGACTTCAAAATAATTTCAGACATGAAATTTGCAAGATTAAAGTGTGACAATATTTCTTATCAGGTAAAAAGTTGTCTCGCAAGATTCACGCAAATTACATTTTTCACACGCTGTCAAGCCACACATTAATTTTCTCACGCAGTGAAATACAAATGTATAACTGATAAGAAGTCACGGAGCGAATCAACTCCGCCCAGCTGGTTGACACCGGCTTACGCTCTGATAGTAATCAGCTGGACCCACTCGAGCTGTGAGTCCGGACAGCTGTGACGAGTGGTAACGTAGCTGGTAGAGTTTTGCAACATAAACATCTAAAAACTGAAGTGCAACTTTGCTCTGTTTGGAACTATGAGCTGCACTTTATCAGAGCTGCTAAAGTTAATGCGTGTGTGTGGATCTGTGGGGAGATTTCTGCCTGATCAAAAGTGTTTGAGGTACAGAGTAAAGGCCAGGTAGACCTCTCATTAAATGATGACATTAGTCTCTTAATATTATGACTTTATTCTGGACATGTCAAGGAACACAGATATGTTGGAGAGATTCGGAATGTGCGGAAAGTTTTGAACATGTGCAGAAAACTTGCTGAAACACAGGATCTGTTAAAGTCCAGGAGTTTATAACTGAATTAAAATTAAATAATTTATCATTGAGGTGAAAAGGTGCCACAATCACATTTTAAGAGGTTACTTCCCCAAACAAAGATACAAAGAGGAAGGCAAACAAATCATGACTCAGCAGGGATGATATTAAATAGGTTGATCTACAGGAGGAACAGATCTGATAGCAACGCAGAGTGACTGTAAGCTGCATTGACTTATATTCTGTTATAGTTATATGTAGTTATAGAAATACAAATACATTTTCATATATTCAGCATTAAAGATTTCTTTAAAATAGTGTTGTCTCGTCCTGTCTCGTGTGTCTCGTCACACCCCTAGCTTATGGAGATAAATTTTTAAATTCTGGTCTACCAAATCCTTCTCTCCACACTCTAGGTGGTCATATGACACACTGATAGAATCTCCTAAAAGCTTTAACAGCTTTTAGGAGATTCTATCATCCTTCACCTTGGAAAGACATATCCTTCCTAAACTAAACATTTAGAAAATACTAAATACAACTTTTAACGTCTTTTCTGCAGCTTAACTCAAAGGAGTCTGTAGGTAGGTAGATTTATAATATAAAAATTTATAGAGCGAAATTGAGTTTTGTAACTCCCTTCTGCTACATAGCAGACAATATACATTAATAGAGAATCAATTATAAAAATGGTAAACAGAAATAAACTATCATCACTGGAGCAGTGCTGAGGATAAATTAGAGTTTAAGAGTCTGATAGCTTGGTGGAAAAAGCTGCTCTGCGTTCTGGTGGTGTGGCAGCAGAAACTTCTATAGCTCTTCCCAGAAGGCAGCAGGGTGAACAGGCTGTGGCTGGGTGGGTACTGTCCCTTAGTATCCTTTGGGCTCTGCATAGGCACCTCACCGATATCACAGGATGCTTTCTATTGCTCCTCTGTAAAAGCTGCCGCGGGAATTTGGCCTTCTTGAGCTTCCTCAAGAAAAACAGTCGTTTCTGAGCTTTCTTCACCACCGTGGAGATGTGAGATGTCCATGTCAGGTTCTCTGTGATGCTGATTCCTAGGAACCTGAAACTGTTCACTTGCTCTACCTCAGCTCCACTGATGGAGACAAGAGTGTGTGTCTTTATCTCCTCCTTCCTAAAATCAAAAATCAGCTCCTTGGTTCTGCTGACGTTGAGCATTAGGTTGGAGCACCACTCTGCAAGATTATGAATTTCCTCCCGATATAAAGTCTCATCGTTGTTTGAAATCCGTCCGATGATGGTGGTGTCGTCCGCAACAGAGTTCTCTTCATGTCGGGGGGTGCAGTCGTGGGTGTACAGCGTGAACAGGAGGGGGCTGAGCTCACAGTCCTGGGGGGCTCCCATGTTGAGCGTTAGAGTTGAGGAGGTGAGTCCGCCAATCCGAACTGACTGGGGTCTGTTTGTGAGGAAGTCCAATATCCAACTGCAGAGTGTTGCATTTAAACCCAGAGTACTGAGTTTGCTGATCAGCTTCATGAGGAGATTGGGTTGAATGCTGAGCTGAAATCCACAAACAGCATTCTGTTTTTCTCAAGGTGTGTGAGGGTTGAGTGGAGGACAGTGGAGATGGCATCCTCTGTGATTCTGTTGGTTCTGAAAGCAAACTGGTGAGGGTCCAGGCTGGCTGGGATGTTGTTCTTTATGTGCTGAAGAACCAGTTTCTCAAAGCACTTCATCAGAATGGGGGTGAGTGCCACAGGGCATTTAGCTCTTAAAGTTGAGTAGGTTGGAGGAAAGTTGAGTCTCTGCTCCCATTGAAACCCATTCCATTTTTTCACATAAACATATATATTAATATAAAATCAGCCATTACAGATATCAGCAATAAGAGTAATAGCATACATTTCATAAACAAGATGACTGATAAGGTTGTGTGTAAAGCACCCTTTTTGAAAACATGTAGTCTATTAAGACAAAGACATTAAAATAGTAGCTTATATTTTTATTATATATAATAAAACTGCTGCATGGGTGTAAAAGATTAATTAAAAATCTAAAAACTAAACTGAAAAAAAAATTCACCAGAAACATTTGCATCTGCATTTCCTCAGAGCTCTGACTGGATTTATGTTTATCATCATGAAGCTGCGGTCGCTCTGAGTAACTAGAGATACGAAACGGGTATACAGGTCTTTTTTCCAGGTTATTCCCATACAGACTCATCTTATGCTTTCCTATGGCATGACAACTTTTATTAAAACATTGTTCTATATTTTAATAATCAACTCTGGAAAGGTAGTTGTGACAGGATTTGATGTGATATAAGGGCCGCCTGCCTTTTCTTTATCTCAGCTCTGCTTTTCTCTTTCTCTCGTTTTGCTGTCCATTTCTTCTCCACACTGTTTGGCCACACATGCGACCAGTCGCGTGTGATGACAGAGATCATACATCAGGTTAAAAGCAACCGGGAGGCTGACGGTCTACAGGTCTGAGGGATCTGTAGACCGTCAGCTGCCCTGTGACAGATTCAACTTTTATGTTCTCTTTGACAAAAGTTTGCATGTCATATTTGGCGTGCGCACTCAAGTGAGAGAGGTGAGAGAATCGGACGCGCATGTTGTGTGGATTCATCTGCTATTAAAAAAGCTTGCTTTCTCATTGCTGCCGCTGGTTAAGTTGATAAGTAACGGCAGGCCAAAACAGCCCTCAGTCCGACGGCCAGTATGCAAGTTTAATCTCCACGGTGTCGTCGGTCAGTAGCACGCAAGACAATAGGCTTCACTAAAAGGCCTATTGTCGGGCCCGCCCTGAGCCATGGTTCTGCTCGAGGTTTCTGCCTCTTAAAAGGAAGTTTTTCCTTGCCTCTGTCGCCTAGTGCTGCTCTTGGTGGGAACTGTTGGGCTTCTGTAAATAGCATCATAGAGTACGGTCTAGACCTGCTCTTTTATGAAAAGCGCTGTGAGATAACTGTTGTTGTGATTTGGCGCTATATAAATAATTAATAATAATTGAACTAATGGACCAAAGAGCAAACACTGTGTGTAGGTAGTGCTCATGGGAGTTGTAGTATCGTAGTGTCACATTGCAGTTCGTTTGTTATTTCAGTCTTTTGACAAGACCACAATTTTTCAACACGCCAGAGTGGCTAGTGGGAGTGACTGTGTTACCCGCCACGGCCGAAATCCACCCGCATTTGGCGGGTTGGCGGGTGTTAATGTCAAGCCTTGGGTGGGACCTTTTATCAATCACATAAAGTTTGGTACAGATGTGAGCATGTACAACTTCCTGTTTCGTGGCGAATCACTGATATTCCACTCCAATCTACGGTCAGCCCAGGTCGACCAAAAATCATTTGTACAACATGTAATCAATCCAACTAATTCTCTATGACGAGTTCATTAAAGTGCGGAGTGTGTAAATCACCAAATATGAAAAAATAATCCAAAATGGCCGACTTCCTATTAGTTGTTGAGCTGCCTGGCGTGTGTGCAAAGTTTTGGAAGGTTTCGTTTTAACATTTAGGCCATCAAAAATTGGATATATTTAAAGAAACATTTCTTCAGTTATTGTTTTGGGGTCAACATACCATGACCAGGATTTGAACTGTCAATCTTGGGATTTACAGGGCAAGCACTTAATCACTGCACTACTGAGATACACTGGTTAAGTATTGATTTTAACTTTCTCTATTGCTCTGGTTTCATGGACATGAAATGCCTCCAAAGCACCAACAGAGGGTGCTCACAATGACCAAACATTCCTGGCACACCAGTGAAATTCACATGATGCGGATAGCCTATCAACGTGGAGATTGTACGTCAGCGAGGCTTCAGAGAATTGTGTGGAGAGGGCAAGGCAGAGCGGGCGATTGAAAATCTGCTGGCCGGCGGAGAGCTGCTAAATTTGGAGGAGAGGAGCAGGAAGAAGCGCTCCAGCTTTTGGACAAATAAACACCTGTTGTCGGACTGGATTATGCTCAACAACTACGCGGTTTGCTTGCAGGAGCAGCTCGGAGTAAACTGCTTTTTATTAAATTAGCTTTTTACTTTAGTTTTTAAGATTGCAACTTTGATTCATCTTCACTGGAGCTTCTCATTCCGTCAGATTCCGTGCACATCCTGTTTCAGTGTTGTTAGTGTCGTTTGGCACTACTTCATATTTATATAAAAAACAGACAAACCTGGACATTGCTGGGAGAAAATAAAGTGAGGAGGTTGAACTACCTGGTGAGTTCAGAAAACTAAAGAGAACTTTATTCCAGCTATCGTACTTTACTGGGACCAAGGTAGCACAGCATAGCCCTGATCGATCCAAACTCCATTCAGAAAACAAACATTTTAGAAGTTGTTGTCTTGCTGACAGACCTGACAAAGCATGAATTCATATGTTTAACAAATCTGCATCATATTGTAGTTATTCCGGCATCAGTTTTATGAGTTTATTGCTATTTAATCACATAAAAATGTTTACTTTGGGTTCATACAGCTGTAGTAATGGCGGGTTGTGTTTATTCGCGTTATTGCGTTGTGTGTGTGTGAAGACTCAGCAGTTGTCCAGCGATAAACCCCCCGCGAGGAGAGCGTTGCGTGGATTAACTTTGGTCTGAATGCCACTTTATTTATTTATTTATTTATTTATTTATTTATTTATATACACGTAAACATTGATTGCATTTAGAAAGACTAAGATACAAATTTAAAAACACCACAGCAAATCAGTGGGAACTGAACTCCACACAGGTGTTTGAAGTTGAAAGCAATTATCACTGCTGCCGGAGGGGGGATTCGAACATGGGTCTAAATGAAAAGAGCTGCATGGGAAACCAATGCTCTAATCAAGTCAGACAGACTGTGTACAAATGAAGAGTCCAAACTCTTTAGAGATGGTTTTGTAACATTTTCCACCCTGATGAGCATCAACAACTCTTTCTCCTGAAAGCAAAGGTTTACATACTTTTGCCACTCAGTGTATGTTTTAGGTTGCATTTGTGTGGAATTATAGAATATTCTAAAGGGTTCACAAACTTCACTGTAGCTTACTGTTGTCAAACAGTGTACAATTGATTATGTCTACAATAGTCATAATAAATCAAACTCCATAATTTCATATCACTGAAAGGGCAAAAGCTGTCTTTATTAGAGGCATTTTCTCTGTTTATTATCAGTAGCTGTGTATGATGTCCTCTGTGTCTTTGTCCCCAACAGGAACGTCTGCTGCTCTCCATCCTTCCAAAGCACATAGCTGATGAGATGCTTCAAGACATGAAGAAGGAGCCTAGCCAGAAAGAGATGCAGCAGTTCAACACCATGTACATGTACCGACACGAAAACGTCAGGTAACTTGGTACCTCTGTTGACGTTCGTGATGCTGTATGTCTGTCTGAATCCTGTCTACACACTAAAAACTCCTGGGTCAAAAATAACCCATTATGGGTTTTTATAACTCCTGGGTTAAAAAGGGACCAACTAATTTCTGGGTTATTTCAACCCAGAAAATTGGGTTATTCTTTTTGACTCAACTTCTGGGTTAAATACCTGAACCAAATGTTGGGTTAAAAAACAACAATATTGTAGTTACTATAACCCAACTTCTGGGTCAAAAGAACAACCCCAATATCTTGGTTGAAATAACCCAGAAATTAGTTGGTCCCTTTTTAACCCAGGAGTTGGGTCAAAAATAACCTAACTTGGGTTACTATGCCAGTATGCCTTATTTCAGAAAATAAAACTTTGTTTTACATTATATCTGTCACAGTGTGGTGCAGGCAGAAGAAGGAGATTTTTACTAACATCATTTTTATTGCATTAAATTAAACTCTCTATAAAAATAGAAAAATAAACAACTCTCAATTATTTGACAACATTCAATAACTGGCTTGAATTTAAGGCTTAAAGTCTTCAAACATTGGTTGTGTCATGTCATGTGAGACTTTACACGGACTTTAAACTAGTTAAATGTACATGGCAACCGCAGAATTTCCACTGTTAACGCTAGTCTCAACGTAGCAACTAAGCCATGGTAATTTTTTCAGCAAATGGTGCAAAACTAGCAACGGGGATATGGACACAGAAAAGTTTATGTTACATCAACACTGAAAATACTCACTTACCTTGAACACACAACGAAGTTGCACCGAAGAAGCACAGGCCAAAATGGATCAAGCGCGAAGCGACGGTTATTTCAAACCACTGTTGTGAAAAAATTCCAGAACAACTGCGGGATGGAGGCTATACATTCATGCCAATAAAGTTAATTTGAATTTGAGAGAGAAAAAGCCAACCCTATAATCCAGAACATGGGTTACTCTCTGAAAAAATAACCTATAATTTTAACCCAACACAACCAACCCAGAAAATGGGTTGAAGGAATAATAATTTTTAATTTTTAGCAAGGTGTTGCTGGGGTCTATCTATCTACATGGATCCTTGATAGGGTTCCAGAGACTCCCCAGTTCTCAAATTTTCTAATTAAAGACAAAAACATCACTGATCTTTATCGAAACTAATTATAGTGATTGGGGATCTTTGAAGTTGATATGGATCTTATGGCTCTGTCCCTTTTTTGTTTCCTTTCTCATCTTTCTTTTTTTTGGGGGGAGGAGGGATGGTTCTATGATTCTGATTTCAGCCTAATATCTACCATCTACGAGTTCACTGTTGGCTCTGGCTCTAAAGCTGATGCAACACCAGAGTATGCCAGGATAATAAGCAAGTGCACCCACTTTCACGCCTTGAGTCTCAGACAGTTTGTGACTAGAGTTGGAACATTGCTAGTACACTGTTCACATAAAAGGGTAGTGGATTTAGTGGATTCCATCCTTGTGATTGGATGGTAGCCCCACCCACTTTTCTTTTGGAATAAGCAGTAATTAACAGTTAAGACACTTATAGGATCTATATATATCTCTATATATCTATATCTCTATATATCTATATCTATCTCTCTCTCTAATAAATGTGTGTGTGTGTGTGTATGTGTATGTATATATATATATATATATATATATATATATATATATATATATATATATATATATATATATATATATATATATATATATATATATATACAAAAATGTGTATACACACACCCACACACCCACCCTCCCACATCTCATACATACACATCTCCATTTGAACTTTAAGCTGCAGAAAAGATGTTGACCTTTCAAAGTTGCATTTAGTGTTTGCTAAAAAAATGAGTTTAGGAGATGTGGCCTTCCAAAGTGAAGGGTTTTACAGCTTTAATTGAAAATATATGTACAAGCAAAACAATGCTGTGTCCAGCATTTGTGATCATATATTGCCCTCTCTTCGTGCTTTGGAGGCATTACATGTCCATTCAAAATCAGAGCAAGGGATAAAGTTACAAGCATTAGTCTTATAGTGTATCTCAATAGCACAGTGGTTAAGGGCTTGCCCTTCAGATTTAAAGGTTGAGGGCGCAAATCCCAGTCTCAGCTTGTTGACTCCAATACTGAACTGAAGTACAAAGTACCATGCTTTGCCATGAAAGAGGGAGTTATTATAACTTCGCTGCACATGCTCAAATCAGTACCAAACTCTGTGATTGATAATGGTCACACCCCCAACCACAGACTGTATATAAGAAATGGACGTAGTCATCGTGACGTCACCAGTTGGTTTGTGGACCGCTATTTTGAAGCCTCGTTTTTGCAACCAGGAAGTGCCCGGAAGTGACCATATTTGGACGAGACGGCGGAACTAACAGCTGTGTACGGAGCTAGCTAGCTTGCTTAGCTAGGTGCATCTGTAATTCTGTAAGTGCCCATTGTGGTTGTGTTTGTGTTGCTGAATCCATTTAATAAAGGTACTGTATTTGATTTACTAGAAAGTAGGTAGGAAATAGCAAATAAAGAGGGCGAGGGTGGGCATCCTTGTCTGGTTTCGCTATGAAGTGTGAATATTTGTGATGTGGTTATTCTAGCCATCGGTGAGGTATAAATGAACCAAACTTACAAGGGTATTAAATAGAAATGTCCAATTTACTTTATCAAATGCCTTATCAGAATCTTCAGAATCAGTTTTTTCTTTTGTTTGCTGTGATAAATTGATGATTGTTGTTTAATCATTTGTTTTAAACCTCTTCTTTAAGACCCTATTTGCACACAAAGTGGATGAGTCACAGGGCTGCGTGAAGTCCAACAAAACATACTGGTGATGTACAGTACTGTGCAAAAGTTTTAGGCCGGTGTGGAAAAATGCTGTAAAGTAAGAATGCTTTCACATAGACATGTTAAAATATTATAATTATCAATTAAAATGCAAAGTGAGTGAGCAGAAGAATAATCTAAATCAAATCAGTTTTTGGTGTGACCACCCTTTCAAAAGTATGTGTAAAATTTGTGCAAGTGTACCTTCAAAAGGTACACTTGCACATTGAAAAAGTCTCAAAAACTGCAAAAACAGTCCTGGCAAAATTGTACTATTAGGAACTGTAAACGTGATTGTAGAAAAGCTGTACGTAGATGGAAGAAATCAGCGCTCCGGGTCCACAATGTTGCCATGAAAGAACTACTACTCCTGTATAATAGCATGGTTAAAGAGGCAAGAGCATGCTATTTCTCAGATCTTATTTCTGCTCATCAGCACAACCCTAGAGTCCAAATAAGTGTAACTGTAGATCAGTTAGTAAACCCACCCTCTCCTTGTGCCTCCGTTGAGTGTGACGTGGACTGTGAGGAGTTTTTAATACACTTTGCTTATAAGGTGGATTTATTAAGATTAAGTATTTGCCCTAACCCTGCCTTCTTAGGTATTGTGCAGCCATTCCTGTACTCCTGGAGCCACTACACATCAACTAGGATGCCTGTACTTTTAGAAACTATTTCTCAGATGAGATTTTCGTTCAGCCCTCTTGACATTATTCCAACAAGGTTTTTATTTGAAATCATTGAGTGTATTGGCACACATTTGTTATCAGTTTTAAAACAGCTCTCTGTCCACTGGTTGTGTCCCGGACTATTTTAAAACTGCTTGTGTTCAGCCAATCCTGAAAAAAACCTGGCCTGGATGCCAGTATCCTTGACAACTATCGCCCTATTTCAAAACTGCCTTTTATCTCAAAGATCCTGGAAAAGATTGTATCCAAGCAGCTATTGGTTGCCATGGATTGGAATAGCACCTTTGAAAATTCCAGTCTGGCTTCCGACAACACCATAGTACAGAGACAGCCCTTCTGAAAGTCACCAATGATCTCTTATTGAATGCAGATGCCGGTTGGTGCTCTATTCTGGTACTGCTGGACTTGAGTGCAGCGCTCTATACTATTGAACACGGCATTCTCTTGGACAGACTGAAGCGCTGGGTGGGTATATTGGGAACTGTTCTGAACTGGTTTATTTTATACTTGTCAGATAGGACGTCTTTGTATTAACAATTTTAAGTCATCATATTCTCTTATTAATTATGGTGTGCCTCAAGGGTCAGTTCTTGGTCCAATTTTATTCTCTATATATGCTCCCCCTGGGTGAAGTGATTCACAGACATGGTATTTATTTCCACTGTTACACTGCTGATCCACAATTGTACATTCCTGTAAAGCCCACTGACCTGAATATGCTAAACTCCCTACAGGACTGCCTGGTAGATATAAGACTGGATGTCAAATAACTTTCTTCAACTAAACTCCATCAAAAAAATCTTGTTATTGGTCCCCAACACCTCGCAAAACAAATACTGCCACCTATTGGTCAGCTGTCGCAACACATCAAGCCTGTTTCAAGAAATCTGTGTTTTATTTGACAAAAATGTATGTTTTGAGCAACACGTAACTAAACTTGTCCAGTCTTGTTTTTATCAGCTCAGAAACATTGCTAAAAATCAGGCCTTTCTTTCTAAGTGTCAGAAATGCGGAAATTGTTGTCCATACTTTTATTTCCTCACATCTTGATTATTGCAACAGCCTTTTCTCTTGTCTTAATCATAAAACCTTAAAACGTCTACAGACTTTACAAAATTCAGCTACTTGGCTTTTAACTAGAACCAAAAGGTACGATCACATCACTCCTGTTTTAGCCTCTTTACATTGATTTTAAAATTTTATTGATTACTTTTAAGGCTCTCCATGGCTTGGCTCCTGGTTATATATTAGACCTTTCCGGCCGGGATCTTCTCGGGGTCGTCCTCTTCCTGTGTCTAGGCTTAGAACTAAAGGGGACCAAGCCTTTTCTGTCAGGGCCCCGAGGCTCTGGAACGACCTGCTCGAGGAAGCAAGGCTCTCAGAGTCAGTGTCTTCTTTTAAATCTCTTTTTAAAACACACTTTTATCAGAAGGCATATACTGATTTTATCTGAGTTACCTGTTTTTTCTTATGGTGTTTGTTTTAGTCCTATAAAGTTGCTATTTATTCTAGGCTTATGTTTATAGTAAATATTTTTTACTTGGGATTTTGTCCTCATGTATTTTATCTTTATAGTGGTGTTATATCTCTTTTGTTAAGCACTTTGTACTTTTGATAAGTGCTATATAGATAAAGTTATTATTATTACTTTGAGGAGTCCTTGTTCTTCATTATGCTCAAGATTGTTCTGAATCACATTCGCCGTATGTTTGGGGTTATTGTCAGGCTGCAGAATAGATTTTGGGCCTCAGATGCCTCCCTGATGGAACTGCATGATGGATAAGTATCTGCTGCAGCCAAATATTTTAAATTTTGACTCATCAGTCCAGAGCACCTGCTGCCATTTTTTTCTGCATCACAGTTCCTGTGTTTCTGTGCATAGTTTAGTCGTGTGGCCTTGTTTCCATGTTGGAGGCTTTTTGGCTGCAAGTCACCATGAAGGCCAGTTCTGACCAGACTTTTCTGGACAGTAGTTGGGTGTACCAGTGTTCCACTGTTTCCTGCAGCTCTGAGCTGATGGCACTGCTGGACATCTTCCGATTGCAACGGGAAGTAAACATGATGTGTCTTTCATCTTTCTTTGGCCGACCACTGCATCTACGGTCCTCAGCGTTGCCTGTTCCTTTGTGCTTCTTCAAAAGAGCTTGGACAGCACACCTGGAAACCCCTGTCTGCCTTGAAATGTATGCCTAGGAGAGACCTTGCTGATGCAGTATAATTATCTTGTGTCTTATTGCTGTGCTTAGTCTTGACATGGTACTTTTACTATTGACAGTAACTTGTGTACAGCTTCCTCACATTGTTAGCTGAGTTTAGATGTTTCTAACCCAGTTGTATTCCTCCTACATAGGGCTGTCATGGTGAAGTAATTTCCACCACTGCAATATGTTAGGACTCAACAGCCATGTATGCGGTAGTATCACATCTTTCATCAATGAAGTAATTTGGTGCCATATAGCATAGTAAGAGTGTCTGTCACCTCACTGCACAGCGAGCCGCTAACAGCAGCTTTATTGTCGGAGCAAGCTAACGTTAGCTGCTGGATGCAAGTCAACAACATGGCAAGCAAACTCCTTTTTGTAGTTTGACCGTGTCTTTTTCACACATAGCTATATCATTACCTTCAGGGCAGGTATATCAAGTCAATTTACATATGCAGCAACACAAGTGCGCGCCATGGTGCGGAGCTGAATGGCTGTCTGCACCTTACATATATTACATCAATTAAGAGATTTGTAAACGAGACTCATAGCTCTTTTTTTCCTCAGCTGACCCCAGGAGGGGCCCCATATTTATGTTATTTTATGAAGTGTAAAAATATATTTGGTTCATTATGAAGATGTGGCGGGACAAATAAACTGGGCCACCGCAGTCGAGGTAATTAATGGTAGACAATGTATCCCCTGGGATGAGCAGTGAAGCACTGCTAGAAACAGCCTTGTATTTGCAGTGTAAATTACACATCACAGGTGTCAGACATGGTGCTGATACATATGTACGAAAATTAGGGATTTTAACTGATGAATGTAACTGTCCCAAGATATGGTTTTTACACAAAAAAATCTATAAGGATTTATATGACCAAGATTGAAGTGTTTGTTTTGTGCCATTGATTAATTTAAACTGATTCAATGTTTGCAGTTCTCTTCAGCTCATTTTTGGTTTCTGAATCTTCTGTTGTGATAGGTATGTTTAAGCTTAAGTAATTATTTAAACTTAACAGAAAAGATGGCCAAATTTATGATATGACATTCTCTAAATATTGTGATAACGTGAAATAATGTGATGGCTTTATTGGTTTGACTCCCCCCTACTGGTGTAGGATGAATGGAGGCACTCCAAAACACCCAACTGGCGCTGCTCTGAAGTGATAGGCTGATCACAGATTCTAACTCAGATGTGTAACAATATGACAGATTACAACAGTGAAAATGTGCATGGGGGATACTGTTTATGTGACTAGCAGCATGATGTCAGTACTAATGTTCTGTCTTGTATCTGTCTCTTGTTGTTGTGCAGTATTTTGTTTGCAGACATCGTGGGCTTCACCCAGCTGTCGTCGTCCTGCAGCGCTCAGGAGCTGGTCAAACTGCTCAACGAGCTTTTTGCTCGCTTTGACAAACTGGCTGCAGTGAGTTTCACACTGTTACCTAACAGTGATTTCATGACATTTGCTTGTTCTAGTTGTTTAGACATTTAGAATTTATATCCATCTTTCATTTCAAATTATTATGCATAGTCACAGTTACGTAGGCAGAATTATCCGGTGGTCAAGACATGGCTGATAAAACCATTTTATTGTTTGTGTGTGTGTGTGTGTATTGTCCTTTTTCTCCCAGGGATGTTTGGGAGTAAGGACAATACACACAATACAATAAAATGGACAAAATCTGTGTGCATTAAAAACCGCTGCATGGTGTTTTGGTGTCTGAGAAGCCAGCTGGATCAGTTACTCAAACTGAAATTACAGAATGTTTCAAAGGCCACCCATTCCTGTGTTTTTTTTATAACTGCTAAAAAAGACAGATGGATAAGGATGTAGATATCACAGTTAGCTATTACCATCTCTCTGACTAAACCTTATCTACCTCTTCAGAAATATCATCAGCTGAGGATCAAGATTCTGGGAGACTGCTACTACTGTATCTGTGGGCTGCCGGACTACAGGGAGGATCATGCTGCCTGCTCCATCATGATGGGCCTGGCCATGGTGGAGGCCATCTCGTAAGTACAGGGATAAGGGGGTCATGAGCTGGAGAAAGCAGCCTAAGAAAACCGAAGTCAAACTCTGGTGCTGACCAAACAACTGCTGTCTAGTCCGCCTCGAACGGGTGGTCTCGGACTGCTGTCAGAACTCTGGAGTGGTTCATAACTGGTGTGAACATCATTTGAACCAATCACAGGAAGCTGTGCAAGGAATTACTGTACTATTAAAGGAGCCATATGTAGTTCTTCAATGACATTACTTGTTAATAAATCACTCTTTTACTTTTTGTCAATGGGCTGTAGCCTCACTTAGAAATGAACCACCGTAGCCCTGTGTGCGCTCCCGAGCCTCTCTCCGACTACAGCGACAACACCGCAGCTAACTAAATGCAGTCCACTAACACCACAAATCAACCAGCTCCCAGCACAACACTGATTCTAACACAAAATTTGCCGAACACCGAACAATTACATTCACATTTTTGCCTTTTTTTTTTTTTACCATTGCATAAATTAAATAGTCAAAATGTGCTTTTCTCTCAGTGTTTCTCACAGGATTTGGAGAGACTATGGTGGGTGGGTCAGAGGCCCAAGAGGGTCCTGTCAAGTAAATTACATGTGTCCATTTACTTATGTTTTATACTTTCTGTGAATATAATCCAATTAATCTTATTTCCATACTGCATAGACACCTTATTTTTAAGACTGGACTTTGTCACATGTGTATCCTTGCACTAAATTCCCACCCAATATGATAAATGTTGTATGTGGTTCTCGTATTGCGTAACATAAAGACTTCATAGCCTCTCTTCAGGTAGGACTCTCATACTGCAACACTTGTCTTTGTAAAGAGAGAAAATGACTCGCTCTGGTCCGTTTCAGTTACCATAAAGGCTTGAATATGTGTGCACTCCAAATGTAGGTGCAGCTAGCTTAATCGCCTTCTCAGAAACGAGTGACAGAAATACTCAAAGTGGGTCAGACCGTTTGTTGCCTTTTCTAAGAAGTCTGCCACAGATGGAGTGGATGTGCTAGGAGATAATTCAGCGGAACAGTGTCTGCAAATGCCAATTTTTGCGTCTTTCTTGGACACTTTAATTTAAACGCCAACCGGTTGCTAACGTTAGCCGGTGCAAAATACTAAGTTGTAACGTTATGACTTCCAAATTACTTCAACAGCAAACGTGATCCATATTACTATACTGTGGACCACCGGTATTATGTCAAAGTGCTGATTTAGCCTGCAAGAAAGGATGTAACGCTACAAAGCAAATGTGTTTATGCTAGCCTATAGTGATGCAGGGCAGGGGCAGCCAGCTAAGTTGGCAATGATCCACCGCAGTTTGCTTCGTAACGTTCAATTTAGATTTATTGTGGTTTTACAGATACCCAAGTACATAGCTTCTCCACTGTCTCAGTCGCTGTAACTTATGTGACCCACATAATATACAATAACGCAACATAATGCACAGGACAACAACACAGTGAAAGGACTAACGTTATTCAGTACAGTTACTTTACTTATTGCGGTCTAACTGTTATAAAGTGTGGTAACAATCTCAGTTATAATATTCAGTCCAGCTCACTAACCGTTTTGTTATCATCCAATACATTTAGCTGTGCTCACATTACTGAGCCTCCGGTGAAAGATACACAAATTGTAATGTTAGTTACTGAAAAGCAGACAGGCAAGCTAACGATGTATCTTGTCGGTTAAATGCAGTAATGTTAGTTACTGAAAAGCAGACAGGCAAGCTAACAATGTATCTTGTCGGTTAAATGCAGTAAATGTAACGTTATCATGTAACGACCATGGATTAGTTCAACCTCAAGCTGATAAAAATTTCATTTTCCGGGAGGATTATGCCAATAGGGCGACTGGCTGCCCTGTCTGAAAGATAACGTTACGGAGCCGAAAAGGGGTTTGATTTGATCTGCCTCTGATCCAGGAACATGTTTTTGTGAAAAGCCACAGCCACATGCCGGTGTTTCCGCATCTATTGTGGGATCTCTGAATGAACGCGGTTGTATAATCATACAACCGCGATTATCCGATTATCCTTGCTCATGAGTTCAAGTGAGCACACGCACGAGCACACACCTACTTGCAATCTTAAAACTGCACCGCTAGTGGCCACTGAAACATATTACCCCTTTAAATGTATTATTGTTGTTATTTATAACATTTCACATTTATCAGAAGATGTTTTATTACCAAGTAGGTTTTCACTGTTTTCCAGTTTGCATTGATGTTTGGTACATACAATAAACACATTGCGGAAAATTAAAAGAAAGATAAAGTACTTCAACAGTCAAGAACATAAATATAGAATAGAAAAAATTTAATATGAACAAATATGTACAATATATAAAAATAATTAAAATATATAATATTTATTCTTGATTAAAGGGCAGCGCCTGCTGCACCTTGTGTATATTTAACTTTTTATGTATTTACAGTTGAAACCAGAAGTTTACATACACTATATAAAAAGACACATATGCTTTTTTCCTCACTGTCTGACATGAAATCAGGCAATCACCTTTCCTGGTTTATGTCCATTGGGATTACCAAAATTATTTATATATGTTAACTGCCAGAATTTTTAGACTATTTTTCATTACTTTCTTCAAAGTCAGAAGTTTACATACAGTAAGATTACTATGCCTTTAAACTATTTTGGAAAGCCTGGATGATGATGTCATGTCTTTAGAAGTTTGTGGTTTATTGACAACATTTGAGTTAAGTAGAGACACACCTGTGGATGTTTTTTAAGGCACACCTGAAACACACTGCTTCTTTGTGTAACATTATGGGAAAGTCAAAAGAAATCAGCCAAGATATCAGGAAGAGAATTGTGGACTTGCACAAGTCTGGTTCATCCTTGGGTGCAATTTCCAGATGCCTGAAGGTGCCACCTTCATCTGTTCAAACAATTATAAGCAAGTATAAACACCATGGGAATGTCCAGCCATCATACCGCTCGGGAAGGAGACGGGTTTTGTGTCCCAGAGATGCATATCAACCCAAGAACAAAAGCAAAAGACCTTGTGAAGATGCTGGCTGAAGCTGGTAAGAGTGTGTCATTATCCACAGTGAAACAAATACTGTACCGACATAGGCTAAAAGGCCACTCTGCCAGGAAGAAGCCATTACTCCAAAAGAAACATAAAAAAGCCAGATTACAATTTGCAAATGCACACAGGGACAAAGACCTTAATTTTTGGAGACATGTCCTGTGATCTGACAAAACTAAAATTGAACTGTTTGGCTATAATGAACATCGTTACGTTTGGAGGAAATAGGGGGAAGCCTGAGAGAACCATCCCAACTGTGAAATACGAGGGTGACAGCATCATGTTGTGGGGTTGTTTTGCTGCAGGAGGGAATGGTGCACTTCACAAAATAGATGGTATCATGAGGAGAAAACATTATGAGGAAATACTGAAGCAACATCTCAAGATATCAACCAGGAAGTTAAACCTTGGGCTCAAATGGGTCATCCAAATGGACAATGACCCCGAAGCATACTGCCAAACTGGTTACAAAGTGGCTTAAGGATAACCAAGTCAATGTCTTGCAGTGGCCATAACAAAGCCCTGATCTCAATCCTATTGAAAATTTATGGGCAGAGCTGAAAAGGCGTGTGCGAGCAAGGCGGCCTACAAACTTGGCTCAGTTACACCGTTCTGTCAGGAGGAATGGGCCAAAATTCCTGCCAACTATTGTGAGAAGCTTGTGGAAGGACATCCAAAACGTTTGACCCAAGTCATACAGTTTAAAGGCAATGGTACCAAATACTAAAGAAATGTATGTAAACTTCTGACTTTGATGAAAGTAATAAAAAAAAAGTTAAAAATATCTTTCTCTCATTATTCTGGCATTTAACAAATATAAATAATTTTGGTAATCCTAACGGATATAAAACAGGAAAAGTGATTGCCTGATTTCATGTCAGACAGTGAGGAAAAAAGCATATGTGTCTTTTTATATAGTGTATGTAAACTTCTGGTTTCAACTGTAGCACGTAACACTATATATGCATTCATTCATTCATTCATTCATTCATTCAAGGAGATATAGGAGATATAGATCAAGGAGATATACATGGATTCTGTAACAGCCTGTTTTGTCCTTTACTAGCCTATTTGCAGGGACCAACTTGCATGTTTGCAATTTGGCCCGCTTCACTGATCCAATCTGTATGGCAAATGCAAACAACTGGTGGTATGATCTGTGATAAGACCATATGATGTCATTTTCTCTGAATGCCTGCATTATTAAATGATTTAAAACCAGCTGTTTTACAAGACGTTCATATGTGCTGCCCTCAAAAGTCTGCTGATATGTTCTCCAGAACAACACCAACATGAACTGGTGTATTATTAGGGCCCGAGCATGAAACATGCGAGGACCCCTATTAAAACTGAAGGAATTATTTTTCTGCAAAGTAACGGCATTTTTGGCGGCCTAAACATTCTCAAAAACTCACCAAACTTTGCACAAAATGCAACGGTGGAGAAAATGTACATGTCATATGGTTTTCGCACATTGTTGTGTTAAAATGGCTCACTAGCACCCTCTACTGAGCAGCCCCATTACCATGTTTCTCCGAAATATTTGTGGCAAATGTATCATGTCCAGACCTACAAAAAAGCCTCCTAGAGGGATGCCCTAAACTCAACAGGAAGTTGGCCATTTTGAATTTAACGGACATTTTTGCCAATTCACAGGTTCCGCACATTAACAGACTCCTAGAGAATTAATCGGATCGACTTCAAATTTTCGCTGTGCAATCTAAAGTCATTGACAATGAGAAGTTGTGCTATTTGTGAGTTTTCGTCGATGGGCATGTCCGTGGCAAAATCGATGATTCACCAAGAAACAAAGAAGTACCCCAATCGTGAGTTCGAATCCCGCAGCCGGCAGCAATGATAATTGGTTTCAACTTTAAACACCAGTTTGAACTTGATGAAGACAAACTAAAGATGTCTCCTAACTTAAAACACCAAAATGGTAGCTGAAAAGCTTTTTTTTTAAAGCAAATTCACTTTACCATCAACAAATGATCAAATTGTTCACCAGATGTCTTCCTTTATGGCTCGCTTGATTACAGTGCTGGTTTCCCAGGCATCTCTTTTGTGTTCTGTGTGCAGTTCAGTTCCCACCGACTTGCAGTGATCAGTTTCTTTCTAAATTAAGTTATAGTGTACATGGAATAAGTTTTTAATTTTTTAGTCGCTTTCTGTGTCTTCATGTTATAGTTACAGTTTTAACACTGGACTACACATCACAGAAAATATAACCGAAAGCAAAACAGTGCTGTGCCATGCATTTGTAGTCATAGATTGCCCTCTATTGGTGCTTTGAAGTATAACATGTATTCAGTTCCCACTGACTTACTGTGGTGTTTTTTAAATTTGTATCTTAGTCTTTCTCAATGCAATCAATGTTTACGTCTATCAGTGTTTCCTTAACATAGTTTATAGCTCTGTATATTTTATTTGACAACAGTGGACTAGACCTCAAATAAAATATATGCTTAACAGTGGTGTGCCAGGAATGTTTGGTCATTGAGCACCCTCTGTTGGTGCTTTGGAGGCATTTCATTTCCATGACAACCAAAGCAATAGAGACAGTTAAAATTGGTACATAACCAGTGTATCTCAGTAGCACTGTGGTTAAGTGCTTGCCCTGCCCGATTTCAAGATTGAGGGTTCAGATCTTGGCCACAGCATGTTCAGTCCAATACTGAGCTGCAGAAATATTTCTGCAAATACATTTCTTTTTTGACGGCCTTAACGTTCTTGAAAACTTACAAAATTTTGAACACACACCATGAGGGTCAAAAACCAACAGGACATTGGCTATTTTGGATTTAATATAGTCATATTTGGCAATTTACACACTCCTCACTTACAAAGTGCACCTAGTGAAGTAGTACATGCGACTTCAAATTTTTGCTGTGCAGCCTTATCCCATCAGTGATTACATGTTGTACAAATGGTGAGTTTTGGTTGACCAGGGCAGTCCGTGGCGTGGAGTAGCATGTCAGTGATTCGCCACGAAACAGAAAGTTGTTATAACTTAAGTGTAACTGCAGGCTGAGTTCTCCCCCGTCACCAATTTTTTTTAACTTGCTAAATCATTATTCCTGTTTGTAGTGTGGACAAATGATGTATATTTTTATGCTCAGCTACTTAAGCACTAACTAATAACACCAAAATGATAGCTGAAAAGCTTTTTTTTTTAATGGACATTTCTATCAACAAATGATCATATTGTGACTTCCTCAGACATCTGCTTCTTTAGCTCGCTTAGAGTATTTATTTTTTTTCCAAGCAGCTCTTTTGATTCAGACCCAGGTTCGAATCCCACGTCCGGTAGCAGTTATAATTGCTTTCCCACTGACTTGCAGTGGTCGTTTTCAAATAGTGTTTTGGAGGCATTTCATGTCCATTAAACCAGAGCAATAGAGAAAGTTAAAAGTGGAATATCAATGATTTGGCACGAAACAGGAAGTTGTTATAACTTAAGTGTACATTCTCACATCTGTACTAAATTTGACAGGTTTGGTAAAAGTCCTGCCCTGAACACATCTACAAGCTCATTCACTCATAGTCATAGCGCCACCTACTGGCAATAAGGAGTTACTACTTCTGTGCTGTGATGGACCAAATTTTTTAGGTTGGCCATGTCTAATTCAAAACTATCTCAGAAAAGTCACAAATTGATGATGTTACATTGTAAGTTTTCCTTCAACAGTGTATGCTTGGCATGGCAGCAAAGTACCATGCTGCACCATGACACAGGAAGTTGTTATAACTTCGCTGCACAAGCTCAAATCAGTACCAATCTTTATGTATCCAGGTAGAAATTTGAAGGGGATTTTGACTTTTAACCCGCCAACTGTATGCACTGGTTGACAATGCAAAGTCACTAAGCTCTATTTGATTCTGAAGCCACATTTAGCACTAATGTTGTGTACCAACCACAGGTATGTCCGAGAGAAGACCCAGACGGATGTCGACATGCGGGTCGGAGTGCACAGTGGTACAGTCCTGGGCGGAGTGCTGGGGCAGAAACGCTGGCAGTACGACGTCTGGTCTACAGACGTCACTGTGGCCAATAAAATGGAGGCTGGAGGGATACCAGGGTAAGAACAGGCATGAACTCCATGCAGTACCTTGCTTCTCATTGTTCCGAAGTTTAATTTACCATGACTTTTCAGAAAATCCTGACTTAATGACGTGAACTGAACCAAGCAACTACCAGTAGAATCATTATCATAAAGAAATATATGGTCAAAGGCGTAGTTTTGGTTTCAACATTGGAGGGGACACATATATCATTTTAACACGTTTCCTGCAATTCTGATGGGGGTTTTTTGCACCAAGTTGTGCCTTTTCTGCATCAATTTATGGTGGAAATGTTTTTATTTATATAAAGGTAAACACTAAATTCAGGCAGCAGGTGACAATTCCAAATCTAAAATGGAATGGAATATAATTCAGTGAGACTCTCAGGCGGTCTGTGAAGCTTTCAGAAAGGTTTATCCTGTAAATCAACATATAATATCACCCTGCTGAGTCAGCACACTAGCAGGCGTGCTTTAGTCTTCCCTCCTCTTTTGAGTTGTGTTTGACAAAGTAACTTCTTTAAATGTGCATGTGGCACCTTTTCACCTTAATGATAAATTATTTTATTTAAATTCATTTAGAAACTTCTGGACTTTAAAAGCTCCCGTGTTTCAGCAGGTTTTCTGCTCATGTTCAAAACTTTCTGCACATATTACCCACAAATCTGTGATCTTCTCTGACATGTCAAGAAAAAAAAGTTGTAATATTACGAGAATAAAGTCGCAATCTAATGAGAGCAAAGTCGTAATATTTTACCAAAATCTTCCTGTCCCAAACTGTACATTAGCTTGTTTTATTGCTCTGCTGATATGGGAGCTTCCCCTTTTCCCACAGACATAGAATGAGACAGGGAGGTGGAAAACGAAACAAAGTGAAAACACTTCTGATCAGGCAAAAATTCTCCCCACAAATGTTAACTTCAGCACGTCTGATAAGTGTGAAGTGCAGCTCACAGCTACTTCAGTGGGAAGCATCCTGGAGCAGAGAGACAGTCCCAAACAGAGCAATGGTGTCTCTGACAGGGGTGACCGAGACAGCAGCGACACAAAGCTGCCAGTCAGAGGAAAGATGCCACACTGCAGTCCCATCTTTCTACAAGTCTTAATAACAGGAGACAGCAGGTTGTTAAGTACAAGTCACTGATTTCTATTTGTAATATGCACTTTTGACTCATAGTCCGTTCATTTTCAATGATTATGGCATTATTTTGTCAGCACAGCGAAACCGTAGTGTCATAATTCTTGAAAACAAATGTGGCACAATCTACAAACAGAATATGATCAAATAACTTTGCATTCATTTAAATTCTGGTTTTCAAGTACAAGTTACTGATTTCTTTTTGTGAATCGTGATGTGTTTATTTGTGGATTTTTAATCTTTTTGTAGATCATGTTTTATATTTGCGGATCATAAGGAGGATCTATTTGTAGATTGTGTTTTGTGTTTACAAGTTGTAATATCTATTTGTGACTTAGTCTGTCCATTTTCCATAATTATGGCATCAATTTACCCACATACACTTTCCATGGAATGTGCCCACATCCTGAAAACATGGCCCTTTGGCCTGGCCTGTTTGAGACCCCTGTAGCTGCAGGATTGCAGGTCACCCACACAATGCATTGTCATTCCACAAGGCTGGTGATGATAGTACAGTAGCTGTCCTGCTGGTAAGCCTCTTCTGGCCTTGTCCAGCCCACTCTTGTATTGATGTAGGCAGCTCAGATTTAATTTTAGAGGTAAAAGGTAGATGACAAAATTCCAAATTTATCACACAAACACAAAAATCAAACCGTTTGTTTTACAGTGGTGTGGTGTGGGGACAGAGTGGACCCAAATGCAATCCTCAGGTTTAACTGGCTTTATTAAGGAAAGAAGGGGTGAGGGACTGGAGTTGAGGGAGAGGCGGATGCCAGGGAAATGCAGAGACCGCGAGAGAGACCGCGAGAGCACAGGGGAGGAGACACAGGGAGGCAGGCAGAGAACAGAGAAAACCAGGGAAAAAACAGTACCACAGACAAAAAGGGAGGAAAAAAAACAGGACACTCACCGTCAGCCGGGCTGCCACCACAACACCGTTGACCTTTGTGTGAACACCTTACTGTGGAAAAACTCAGCAAGTCCACCAAGCAGTGGTTTATTTATTTTACCAATCTTTTTCTACGTACCCCTTATCTACCAAAGTCAAAGACGTATCATAACAGTTGTCCATAGAAGTAGGTGTATAAAAATATCTGTCTATATGTCCAAGTTAAGTTTACAAGGAAGGAACAAGGCATCATATTACACTGCAACACAACAATGAACACCAATTGAATTAACACCCAATGAATTTAGGCCCAATATTCCCTCACTGACTCATTCACTGTGTTTACCAGCTAGTCTCTTAACGGTGCGTGTCTGCTGTTTGGTGCTGAGCAGGTAGTGTACAGGGGCTTATCAGAGCCTGAGAGAGGAACTTGTGGGTCATAAAACCAGTACAACAAGAGCATCTGACCATAACCTGACATGGCCATCTTACATCTCCATGCTGGGGAAGAAAGCTCAGAAACTGCAGTGATATTGGTGAGGTGCCTACGCAGAGCCCAAAGGACACTAAAGGACAGTACCCACCCAGCCATAACCTTTTCACCCTGCTGCCTTCTGGGAAGAGAGATAGAAGTTTCAGCTGCTGCACCACCATACTGCAGAGCAGCTTTTTCCCTCTAGGCTGTGAGACTTTTAAATTCATCCTAACTACTGCACCATGCAAACTAGTTTATTTCTGTGACTTATTTATCCACCCATCTAGCGTATATCATGCTTGTATGTAACATTCGTTTTTTTTGTGAGTATTATAAAGGGAAGTATAACTTCATCTCATTATACAACCCTTTGTTGTAAAATGATAAATAAATCTACATTGTCGATTGTAAAAGAGGCTGAAGGCACTGTAGAGCTGGTAATAAAATTATCTTTCACTAGAAGTAAAACATTTTATTAAAAAATACTGATAAATACTGTAAAGAATAAACTAAACAAAATAATAGAAATTTGCTTGGATGTTCATTCTTCACCAGTTTGACAAAAAAACTTAAGTCAAGATTTCTGTTTAATAGCATATAACAACATCTCATGGTCTTCATTACCACGTGTACTTTGCTCAGACATCATATGGTCTCATATGTTAGCACTGATGTGTCGACTAAGGAAAATTTTGCCTACTGTTGCAATTCAGCACTCTATATAAAAGCATCTTTGTAATGTATGAAGGGTCGATTAATCATCTGTCTAATCTTTGACCCCTCTGTATGTGTGGACCAGTCGTGTCCACATCTCACAGAGCACCATGGAGTGTCTACATGGTGAGTTTGATGTGGAGCCAGGGAACGGAGGTGACCGCTGTGACTACCTGAGGGAGCGGGGCATCGAGACCTACCTAGTAGTTGTTCCTAAAGGACCTGTGGGAAAGAATGGCATCAACGGTGTAGTGAGTCAAACCTGCCACACACCCACTCTGCATTTGGATATTCAAATATTTGTCTTATATTAAGCCAGATGATGCACAGGGAAGTGACATACTTCTTCTTCAAAATTAGATTTGAAAATGATTTCAGCATGTAAGAAAATATATATGTTCAGCATTCAAAATACATGGAAATGTTCTGCATTTAATTTCCTGTTTGACTGTTTCACATTAGAAGCTGTCTGTAACCTCTTCCAATGGAAACTCCCCGCTGTTGATTAACACCACAGAGTGTAACGGCAGTGTTAACACAGCCTGCACCACACCCGAGGAACCGGAAGAACTGGACACAAGGGTATGCAAGAAATCATTACTTGGAGTGGAATGTAATGTAGCAGGAGTGCCACTAGTGGCAGCCAGTAGGGCTTTTTATCCAAACTAGAAAATTAAACAATTTAAACATCTTTTGGTATCCACAGGGGGTTGTATAGTTTTTCTTTTTTTTTGCAGAAGAACATACATACAAGAATAATAGCTTTTTCCACACAGAAGGACAATATTATTGGCACCTTTTTAAAAGTTGCAAGAAATAACTGGATTCACCTTGAACTCGCCCGTCACAAGTGCCTGCAATCTAATAATTCACTTCAGCTTTATTTATATAATGACAATTTATAATAGAAGTTTTCACATTGTACATGCTTCCTTTATTCCCTAAAGGAACCTTATACAAGGTGAATAGGATTAGTCTAAGCATAGAATCTTGTGGAACTCCATGACTAACTTTGGCGTGCATGGAGGACTCATCGTTAACATGTACAAACTGAAATCGATCTGATAAATAGGATTTAAACCAGCTTAGAGCGGTTCCTTTAATGCCAATGAAATGTTCCAGTCTCTGTAATAGGATCTGATGGTCAATGGTATCAAATGTAGCACTAAGATTTAATAAGACCAGTACAGAGACAAGTCCTTTGTCTGATGCAATAAGGAGGTCGTTAGTAATTTTCACCAGTGCTGTCACTGTGCTATGATGAGCTCTAAATCCTGACTGAAAATCCTCAAATAAACTATTGCTCTGTAGAAAGTCACACAGCTGTTTAGCAACTGCTTACTCCAGAATCAGAGAGAGTAAAGGACGGTTAGATATAGGTCTTTAGTTGGATAGTTTTCAGCGGCCATTAGCTGTGTTGTTTTTACATTGCAACCAGGTGTGTGCTCATACGCGTGCTCAAAATCATGATCGAGCAGAATTTGATACGTGCAGACAGACTCACCAGGAGACAGTTTCTCACAACATGAGAACACAAGGGGGCGGCTGTGGCTCAGGAGGTAGAGCGGGTTGGCCGTTAATCAGAAGGTCGGCGGTTCAATGCGTGTCGAAGTGTCCTTGGGCAAGATCCTGAACCCCGATTTGCCCCTGGTGGCTGTTTCGCCAGTGTATGAGTGAGTGTGAATGTTAGTTTCCGTTTGAGCACTTGTATGAATGTGTATGACTGGTGGCAGATGTAGTGTAAAAGCGCTTTGAGTGGTTGAAAAGACTAGAAAGGCGCTATACAAGTACGGAGCAATTTGTACGGAGCATTTAACATGAAACAAATCCATGCATGAAAACGTTACATTGACTGCATTTAACAGACGTGGTACATCAGCGTTAGCTTGCTTCAGGGGCGGCTGTGGAGACCAGGTTGCCCGTTAATTGGAAGGTTGGCGGTTCAATCCCTGGCTCCTCCAGGCTGCGTGTTGAAGTGTCCTTGGGCAAGATACTGAACCCTGAATTGCCCCTGGCGGCTGTTCCACCAGTGTATGAATGTGTATGAATGGTGAATGCAGATGTAGTGTAAAAGCGCTTTGACTGGTGGAAAAGACTAGAAATATACAAATACGGAGCATTTACATTCAGCTAGACTAGCTATTACTAATAAGATTGTTGTCCCACTTTTAGACCTCCAGTAAGTAATGTAGTGAATGGGTCTTCTACTGCTAGAAGACAAGCGCTCTGCGAGTAAACGGCAGGTGCTCTATGGATAGTAACCATGGCAACAGCTTGTGTGTGCTACACAGCTGTAGCCTATTTGACTTAATTTAAAATTATAGGCTAAATAACTTTACCTGATAGACCGTCATCTAGTTTTGGGGGATGCCGTGCAAATTCCCTCCTGCTGATGTCCTATTTAGAAAACAGTAATAGATTCTGGAAACCCGCAAATGGCGAGGATCAGTCTCTCTTTCAATGATTTGTGCTCCCTATGTCGCGTACAAAAAGTTCAAGACTATTAAACTTTGGTGGCACTTCACCTCACTAGCAGGGACACTTGCTACTGAGCACATACTGTTATGCTGCTCCCTGATAAAAGAAAAATGTTTCTGCTGATACCTGTTCCGGGAAAAAAACAGATGTATATATGTTGACCTGTTGCTCAGAAGGTACCAGTTATGATGTTACGATCGTGGCTCTGGACTCTGATGGTAACTTGTTTTAACAAGCTAGAGGGGATTGTAAGAGGCACTTTATGAGAGGTGCTGAAGATAACGTGTGTGGATTTGTCGTGAGATTTCTGCCTGATCACCGGTGTCGGTTAGTTTTGTTTTCCCTCAGCATGAGCACCTCCTCGTCTCATCCAGTTCTGTGTCTGTTAGATGGTCGAGGGAAGTCAGAGTGAATCAGTAACATAATGCAGTATAGGGCATATAGTAAAATATTATGAATTCTCTTTAAATAGGCTAATGACGTTAGTCTTGTAATATTACGACAAGGGATGGGGATTGAGACCCGGTTCCTAAAGGACCCGGTTCCAAAATTTCTCAAAACCCGAAAATCAATAAGGTGATGATGTAACGTTATGTCTCGAGCGTCAAATGTGATTTAATTTGAAATGCAATGGATAAGAAAATCATCAGGCTGCAGTCTCTGCCTGCTCTCTGCGGGCTCCTACACACACACACAGCGGCAGCAGAGCGAGAGGCTGCGCCGTCACGGTGGAATACGGTGAGTGTTAAGTTAGCTCCAAACTACTGTAACGTTAGTTGATGACAGCGACGCTCGTTACTCTAGGTACGTGCAATAAAACCTTCACAAGTAAAAAGACAATACTTTCTCAATCCACCTGTCTGTAAGGTAACGTTAAACATGTAGAAATGGCTAGCTAACGCTAGCTTGGCATTAGCCAAATGTTAAAAACAAGCTGAATAGAAAGCTGTCTGTCTGGAGCACAGACTGGTCTGTAGTCTTAAAAACTCAGCTGCTGGCTGAGACAAACCAGCCGCTCCTCCTTCTACCTGGTAACTTACCTGCAGCCAGCGAGAGAGGAGGGACTGATACAGACTGATGTTGTTCTTTCTAAACTCACTCACTACTTGTGATGTCAGATAAAGTTATTGAGTTAGTTGTTGTTGTAAACATTAATGTTGCTGCTATAGAAACAGCATTTAGCTGTATTTAAAATATTAAATTAAAAACAACCAGGCAGTTAATATGCACCCTTTAATATATGTTTATTTATCGCAAGTGACCTACCTCATGCCCCTTGTAGAGGTCGACCGATATGTTTTTTTTTCACGCCGATACCGATCTTTTGAAATCCGGGTCGGCCGATGGCCGATTAATGCTGCCGATTTATTATTAAATAAACAAAACGGGTAAGAAGAAAATAAACTGTCAAATATACTTTTCAATGAAAAAATAAATAAAGTTTAAAGTTTTTAGTGCAATTTACTTAGCAGCTCCATCTCCTTGTTTCTGAGGGAAGGAAGATTTGTAAAAAACAATACAAAAAGGAATGTGAATAATATTATATTTAGTTTCAATCCAAATTCCAGACCCTGAGTCTTCAGCCCACCCATTCTCCACTGAAAGTTGTTAGGCTAATACTCCCAGTTGAAGAGCTGCAGGTTGTAGTGCAGGAACTGAACTTTGAACTAGTTCATGTAGAAAGCGAACTTTCCCAACACTGCTAACGGTATGTAAAGCGATGTTTCTGTTATTCTAACGTCTGTTTTCTGAGCATCCAAGAGAAGCACTGGCATAACAGTAGCATCGAACTGAAGCACAGAAATCCGCGTTGATATTCGGTGCGGTAGATAACGGTCGTTAAGGTTCCAGTGCCGTATTAGCACCGGGTCTGTCTGTAGCTACCCGTTAGCAAAGCAAAGCCAGTCTGTCACTAGCCTATAGTGCGTTGGTCTCTTTTTTATTACTTATTTCTCTGCATTGAGTGACAACCCTCTCAAATATAAGACACACAAACAGAACAAATAAAAGTCTCAGATTCACTCTGTAATTGCAAAATTATTGCTTACTTATTGTGACATGATAGCAACTCTTCTGTGATAATGCAACTTCAACTACGATCCAAATTAGCCGAATGTCATGTGTCTTATTCAGGTTTTTTCTCGAAGTTGGCAGTAACATATCAAAAGTTTTTAATTAAATATAAAGGAGTAATAAGAATTGAATCCTTACCGTTAGCTCCTTAGGCACTGGATGAGGTCTGCTGCTCACTCGGCTGGAAAATGACTCTAGCGGCACCACGACAACACTAGGCTGCCCACAGATGCGCCTCCCTAATAATCGGCTTGATATACTTGGATATTGGCCGATGCCGATTATGTTAAAAAATGCCAAAAATCGGCCAATTAATCGTCCGACCCGATTAATCGGTCGACCTCTAGCACCTTGGGTCTGGTCTTACCAAATAACCATCACTAAATAATAGTAAAGTATTGATAGTGGTATCGATAAAGGATCATTAAGCAGTCCCAATAAGGGTATCAGTATCAATAAAAACCATTTCATCTCTTTTTGCCAAGCATCTTTAGAACAATTGCACTGAAAGCTATCAAACATACAAGCCACAAATAAGACATGTACATACTACGGACAAGATCACATATAGTACTTGCTTGTGGTGGAAATTTTGGGTCTCTGTAAATAATATTACAAGGAGTACAGACTATACCTGTGTACCGGACCATACGGGCCAGCCTTCACTCACCTTGTGCATCAATGAGCCTCTCCCCCCCCATGACCATGTTGCCAGTTCACCGTGTTTCCTTCCTTGGACCACTTTTGATAGGTACTGACCTTGCAGCCCAGGAAGACCCCGCAAGAGCTGAAGTTTTGGAGATTCTCTGACCCTTGTCATCTAGCCATCATAATTTTGCCCTTGTCAAAGTTACTCAAATCCCAACGCTTTCCAATTTTTCCTGCTGCTAACACACCAATTTTGAGGACAAAATGTTTACTTGCTACCTTATATATTCCATCCACTGACAGGTGCCATGGTAACAAGATAATCAGTATTATTCTAGACCTATTCAATGAAAAGTGCAATAAGATAACTTCTGAATTGGTGCTATATAAATACATTTGAATTGAATATGTAATTAGAAACCAAAGACGACATGTGAACCAAAAGTTCAAGCATGGTCCATGTATTGATCATATGCTTGCAGTGTTTTGCATTGTTTTTCTGCTGGATTTTTCTCTCTTCTGACAGGTGAAGTGAATAATACTGATTATCTCATTACCATGGTCAGTTGTCAGTACCTATCACAAGTGGTCCAAAGTCCAAGAAAAGTGGTGAACTGGCAACAGGGTCATGAGGGGAAAGGCTCACTAATGCAAATGGTGAGTGAATGCTGGCCTGTGTGGTCCGATCCAACAGACGAGCTACTGCAGGTCAAATTGCTGAAAAAGTTGATGTTGGTTGTGATAGAAAAGTGTCAGAACACACACTTTTCTTTTACATCACATGTGCGTCGTTTACCTGGGGAACACATTGCACCAGGATGCACTATGGGAAGAATGTAAGCCCGGGGAGGCAGTATGATGCTTTGGCCAATGTTACGCTGGGAAACGATGGGTCCTGCCATTCATGTGGGCGTTACTTTGACACGTACCGTCTACCTAAGCATTGTTGCAGACCACGTACACCCTTACATGGAAACGGTAGTCCCTGATGATGGACCTCAACTCTCCAGGGACTCGTGCAAGGACCCTGTTCGTGGACTTCAGCTAGGCGTTCAACACCATCATCCCAGACATCCTCAGCACCAAACTCACCCAGCTCACTGTGCCAGCCTCCACCTGTCAGTGGATCACAAACTTCCTGACTGACAGGAGTCAGCAGGTGAGACTGGGGAACATTCAATTCAATTCAATTTTATTTATATAGACATCACATCCAGTACCTGGCCTATTAGCACTGGCGCCCCCTAGACGTGTGTGCTCTCACCAATGCTCTTCTCTCTCAACACCAACTCTTCTCTCTTCGACCCATCTGTCGAACTTCTGAAGTTCGCTGATGACACAACGGTCATCGGCCTCATCCAGGACCGTGAGTTGGCCTACAGACGGGAGGTTGATCAGCTAGCACTCTGGTGCGGCCAGAACAACCTGGAGCTTAACACGCTCAGAACTGTGGAGATGATCGTGGACTTCAGGAGGAGCCCCCCCCACTCTGTCCCCCATCACCATACTCAACAGCCCTGTGTCTGCTGTGGAATATTTCAGGTTTCTGGGATCCACTATCCCAGGACCTAAAGTGGGAGCCCAACTCTGACACCATCATCAAAAAGGCCCAGCAGAGGATGTACTAGCTCAGGAAGCTCAATCTGCCTAAGGAGCTGATGATCCAGTTCTACACAGCCATCATCCAGTCTGTCCTCTGCATGTCCATCACTGTCTGGTTTGGATCTGCCACAAAAAAGGACAGGAGCAGAATACAGCGGACAGTCAGGACTGCAGAAAAGATCACTGGTGCTATTCATGACTTATACATTTCCAGGGTCAGGAAACATCACTGCAGATCCATCTCACCCTGGACACAACCATCTCACCCCAGACACAACCTGTTCCAGGCGCTACAGAGCATCCATTCATCGTCAAGGGCTTATCCTGCGTACAGGGTCACGGGGGGCTGGAGCCAATCCCAGCTGACATCGGGCGAAAGGCGGGGTACACCCTGGACGGGTCGCCAGTCCATCGCAGGGCCCACATAGACAAACAGCCACTCACACTGACACCTAAGGACAATTAAATCAACCTAAATCATGTTCATGTCTGTGGATGGTGGGAGGAAGCCGGAGCACCCGGAGAGAACCCACGCAGACACGGGGAGAACATGCAAACTCCACACAGATAGGCCGGGGAAACCGGGGTTTGAACCCACGACCTTCTAGCTGTGCCGCCCCGCTACAGAGCAATGTACGCCAAAACCAACAGATTCAGGAACAGTTTCTTCCCACAAATCATCTCTCTGATGAAAAGCTGATTTCGGGCTCACAGTGTCAGGAACAATTCCTGTGCAATGATCCAGTAACTCTGTCTCTAATCAACCACCTGTTTACTGGTTACTTATTATTTATTCACCATTCTGTATTTCAGAGTTGTTCATACTTTTAATATTGTTATATTGTGTAGACACTGTATACCAAATCCACCTACCTCAAGTAAATAACACCTGCACATAATACTTATTTATTCCAGCATCCTCCATGCTCCATCACACTGTGTACATGTATGTGTATGTGGACTTGTATATCACATCCACCTCCGACATGTACATAATAATAATAATAATAATAATAAGGATTATAATAAATTACTCCTGCATCCTTTGCACTCTGCTCACTGCACTATTTGTCATTCTGTCTATATTGTTTTTGTTTATAGTGTGTATATTTGTGTTCTCTATACTGTAGCCTGTGTTTGATTTTATTATTGTGTTATTGTATGAATAAGCACATCGTGAGCAATGTACAATCCTGAGTCAAATTCTTCGTATGTGTACACATACCCGGCAAATAAATCTAATTCTGATGGCAGTGGCCTCTTTCAGCAGAATAATGCGCCCTGCCACAAAGCACAAATGGTTCAGGAATGGTTTGAGAAACACAACAATGAGTTCAAGGTGTTGACTTGGCCTCCAAATTCCCCAGATCTCATCCAATCGAGGATCTCTGGGATGTGCTGGACAAACAAGTCTGATCCATGGAGGACCTGTCTCGTAATTTACAGGACTTAAAGGATCTGCTGCAAAGGTCTTGGTGCCAAATACCACAGCACACCTTAAGAGTTCTAGTGGTGTCAGTGCCTACATGGGTCAGGGCTGTTTAGGTGGCAAAAGGGGGACCTACACAATATTAAGCAGGTCATGATGTTATGACTGATTGGTGTATATTTTATATACACTGAGAATTATCATGATGACATACAGTATATTGTCTTTTTCTATTATTGTTGCCTTTATTTTGTACTTATTTTATTACATTTCACTTTATTTGATTATTATTATTTTAATGGATTTACTTTTTTTTCTTATTTAACTGAACTGACATACCATGACTCTCAATCACTATTGTTCTTCATATGTAAATCTCACACATGCAAAACACCCTGGTAAAACAGGCGAATGCCAATAAGCACTAGATGTGACATAAGATCTGGGATCATTAATATTTACTCGCCCAAAATTTACACAAACCAGCCCACGTTCCAGAGAAGCAGCTATTCCATAGAGCTAGAGATGGAGGTTGTTCAGCATTTCTCACATAAAGTGCTTTTATGGTTATGAAGGAAAGGGAAATATTTTTTGGTTTTCCTTCTGGCTGCTCTGCCTCAACTCTGTAATTTATTAAGTTACCTGATGGACAGATAGCTTCACTTGTCCCTAACCCTAGCTGTTGCTAACAGTAGCTGCTGAACTAGCAGTCCAAATCTTGGTTCAACCCCAAGACACACTTGGAGCAGCAAGCTTCAAGTCCGGGAAGAATCAGCATTAGGACGGCTAGCTGCACGGCTAATTGAGTAGCTAGCAGCAGCTGCTGTTAGCAGTAGTTAGCAGCTAAAGTTGGCCAATCGGAAGCAAGTAACTTTCAGGTGGGGGGCCTTTAAAGGGACAGCATGTAAAAGTTTTCTAGTAGAAACCCTAAATACAAGTAGGAACCTGAAAATGAGTATTCTACAGGACCTTTAAAACTATTGGTAATAGATTTGTAAATGTTCAATATTCAAGTTGTATTATGAAATGAGTTTGTCATCATGGTGAACTGAGTACATGCATTGATAAAATGAGTTATAAACAAATATAAATAAAAAAAGGTTTAAAAAAATATTCAGAGGAGGTTTCTTGCTGTAGATTGAAATGTTGGATAGACAGACCAGCTGTCCTAATTGCTGTCCTGGCACTGATCGAGTATATTTCAGAAATAGAAAATGGAATATTTCCTTCTTTGGGGCTTCAGGTGGTGAATCCATCTTTCCCTAACCCTCGGAGAAGGCTGCGGCTGCGGGACCTTGCTGAAAGGGTGATTGATGCTCAGGAGAATGAACAGGAGCTCAACAAACTGCTCAATGAGGCTCTGCTGGAGAGAGAGACAGTCCAAGCGTAAGTGAACACTGTCACTGTTTAAACCATAAAGCGCTACTGCTTTCTAGAAGAAAAACCTTAATGATGCTGCTTTTTGCATTTTTAGCTGATGCCATGTGAGTGGTTGTTGGAGGACCTGGCACTGAATCACTGACCAGGATCATTCACTCTCCTTGTTGTCCTAGTTAGGACACAGTGGCGTACACTCAATCATAAATAAAGGAGACTATTTTCAAAATAATTTATATATTTTTCCAAATAAAAACCCTTCACCATGTAGCTTCCTGAACAACCTTTCTGTTTTTGTTTTTTACTTTAACTTGCAGTACAAATTTTGTCTCCCCCCTCTGACTGTGAGGCTAATTACATAACATTGTTAACGCACTTATGATGTGCAGGCTCTGCCATGCTGAGCAGAAACTGTTGCTACAGCTCTGGCAGTTGGCATAAAACACATCACTACTAGTTCGCCACAAGCAAAAGATTGAAATACTCTATACTGCGAATACAGACCGATTTACCTGGCAATAATAGGCTTAAACAGCATTGTGTGAACTTGTTTGGCGAGAACTTGTTAAGGATGTTCATTTATATGTAGTCCCACACTCCAGCTTTAAGTTAAGAATTCCATATTTTGGATGAGATTTGTCATTTGCTAAGGCTACAGAGCAGCTCCCTCCTCTCATTGTGAACCACAAATGAATTTTTTGTTTTGTTGGAAATTGTTCGATACTAGTGTAGATACGATACCTTTAGTTCTGGTACCAATACTAAAATTATATTTATTCAGGTAAATTTGTGAGGGATAAAAATGTTTTTCAAGAAGCCAAGGTTATAAACTGTTAAATATTGTCTGGACACATTTAGCTGTAAATAGTAAATGGACTAAACTTGTATAGCACTTTTCTTTGCTCTCAACTCTCATTCACACACAAACTCATATGCAAGGCACTTGCCCTAGTGTCTTGCTCAAGGACACTGGGACAGGAGCAAACCTACCTCCCACGCCACAGCCGCCACTTGAATTTGTTTAAAAAGTGCCATTTTCAATACTAGTTTTTGATAAGGTCACATTTTGGTCTGTAGCAGAAAAGTACCGCGTACAGTTTCGTACCCAGCCCTGCAAATCAATGTAGCAGTTTTGTTCCCAATTTGACTTGGTTGGGTGCAATGCAAAACACAATGTTAGGGGCAAGTATGTTGTATCAGTGTTCAGTTTGTAACAAGATGTTGTAGATTTCCCCATACAAAACTATAACAATGTGATTAGTGTTGCTGGAAAAAACCGTATCAGGTCAACTTAAGTAATGTAATACCAATATTTTACATTTGATGTAAGTGCTGAGGTTCTCTTGTCTCATCAGTCTGAAGGGGAAACACACAAACAGGCTCTCCCTGAGGTTTGTGGATCCAGACCTGGAGACTCGTTACTCGGTGGAGAAGGAGAAACAGAGCGGAGCTGCCTTCTGCTGCTCCTGTGTGGTCCTGCTCTTCACTGCAGCGATGGAAGCACTCATAGACCCCTGGTCAGTTCACAAAGCCAGCATTAATCTCACCACACTTTTTAAATCAACAATGTGGCCATCTTTGATTTATGTCAAACTCTAGCTGAGACAACTACCCAAAAAGCTGAATTAAAGATTATCCTATTCAAATCTTTTACTCTGTACTGTGAGGGATCCTCCAATTGGGATCTCAATCTACAGTTGGCTCAGTTTGCACAGCACAACTCACTGTAATATCGCTCTGCAATATTGGTTTCGGTCCATCTGCATGTAGCTGTTCATGACAGCGATGTTATAGAGTCGAGGCGAATCTGGACTTGTTCACTGCTACCAGTTCTTTATATTTCTTTCAAGGTTTTTCTGTGTGTTCATGTGTTGTGGAACAGGCTGATTGCAAACTACATCACCTTTGCAGTGGGCGAGGTACTGCTGCTTATCCTGACAATCTGTTCTCTGGCCGCCATCTTCCCTAGAGTGAGTTACAGCACATTTTTCTGCTTTTACACTTGAATGTTTTGTCACATTGTTAGTAGCATGTCTTCACTACCAGCTGGAACCAGGTAACAGCCCATTCTCCAGATAAGCGACGGTCAACAACTGTGTTAGTTCAGTCAAAGCCCAAAATCAACAAAGTATCAATTTTGCTCCTTTTGTCTCCTTTCGAGAGCCAGGACATGACTTGGCCTCTGTTACCTGTGAGAATGTGTTCTCTTGTGCTCAAACACAGTGTAACAACCCTGTGGGGTTGCCTGTGTTGTGTTGTGCTAGTTTGGTGTTTGTGTGTTTCAGGCTGTCTATATGCGGAGCCAAGGCCAGGGTTGTCAGGAGATGTGGCTCACCATTTCAGCCTGGCTTATAAGTATTTAAGGTGGCTGCCCACTCTGCCCACGTTCTCTTTTGTTTCCCACTGCACCATGCACCACACCTGGGACACTTCAGCTTTTCATTTTCGGACTTATTATGTAGCTTTTCCTTTTGCATTCACTACATTTTACACCCACCATAAACTCATGACACTCCTGATAATACTGATTTCCATGTTTGCCTTGAAGTTTATGTTTAGTTGATACAATAAAACCATTGAGCTTATGTTTGCGTCAGCTTCCTCTTTGTTACAAACAGGAGCCAACTTGTAAGAAATGGGGACTCGTCTAAAGGTTAGTGCAGTAAAACTCTTGTGGTGCATCAGGGAGCGTGGTGTCACTGCACTGCTGATTAGTCATTTTGTAACGGTTTAGCGCACAACTATTTTTGTTGCATGATATAAATATTGGATACATCAGAAAAGCAGAACTGGTACAGAAACCTTTGTTTGCAGTTACAGAGATCATACGTTTCCTGTAGGTCTTGACCAGGTTTGTACACACTGCAGCAGGGATTTTGGCCCACTCCTCCATACAGACCTTCTCCAGATCCTTCAGGTTTCGGAGACTGTCTAGGTCACTCCAGGACCTTGAGATGCTTCTTACGGAGCCACTCCTTAGTTGCCCTGGCTGTGTGTTTCGGGTCGTTGTCATGCTGGAAGACCCAGCCACGACCCATCTTCTATGCTCTTACTGAGGGAAGGAGGTTGTTGGCCAAGATCTCGCAATACATGGCCCCATCCATCCTCCCCTCAATACGGTGCAGTCGCCCTGTCCCCTTTGCAGAAAAGCATCCCCAAAGAATGATGTTTCCACCTTCATGCTTGGGATGGTGTTCTTGGGGTTGTACTCATCCTTCTTCCTCCAAACATGGCGAGTGGAGTTTAGACCATAAAGCTCTATTTTTGTGTCATCAGACCACATGACCTTCTCCCATTCCTCCTCTGGATCATCCAGATGGTCACTGGCAAACTTCAGACGGGCCTGGACATGAGCTGGCTTGAGCAGGGGGACCTTGTGTGCGCTACAGGATTTTAATCCATGACAGCCTAGTGTGTTACTGATTTTTTTGAGACCGTGGTCCCAGCTCTCTTCAGATCATTGACCAGGTCCTGCCATGTGGTTCTGGGCTGATCCCTCACCTTCCTGATGATCATTGATGATCATTGATGCCCCACGAGGTGAGAGCCCCAGACCGAGGGAAACTGACCGTCATCTTGAACTTCTTCCATTTTCTAATAATTGCGCCAACAGTTGTTGCCTTCTCACCAAGCTGCTTGCCTATTGTCCTGTAGGCCATCCCAGCCTTGTGCAGGTCTACAATTTTATCCCTGATGTCCTTACACAGCTCTCTGGTCTTGGCCATTGTGGAGAGGTTGGAGTCTGTTTGATTGAGTGTGTGGACAGGTGTCTTTTATACAGGTAACGACTTCAAACAGGTGCAGTTAATACAGGTAATGAGTGGAGAACAGGAGGGCTTCTTAAAGAAGTGAGAGCCGGAATTCTTACTGGTTGGTAGGTGATCAAATACTTATGTCATGCAATAAAATGCAAATTCATTATTTAAAAATCATACAATGTGATTTTTGTTTTAGATTCCGTCTCTCACAGTTGAAGTGTACCTATCATAAAAATGACAGAACTCTACATGCTTTGTAAGTTGGAAAACCTGCAAAATCAGCAGTGTATCAAATACTTGTTCTCCCCACTGTATGTATATTAACGACAAACTCTGTCCACATAGACCCTTAGAATAAAACCATCAGTAGCCAAAGGAAGCATCAACAACCTGGTTATTCAGTGAGTAGAAATTATCAAAAACAGACATGTCATTCAAGATAATGTGCATTCACAGACTTCCTCAAGTTCAGTCAAACACAAAGAAAATACTCAGTTTATTATTTCATTGAAACACAGAAAAAGTTAATATAAAACCAAAGTAAATGTTTAGTTCATCAAAAAAAAATTAGGCCCAACAGTAAGTTTTCATTTCGTAAAAAGGAACGAATTATAAGCCACGGTCTTCACAGAGAAAAAACTCTGGTACTCACGGTGTGGAGCTTGGGAACCTTGGTTTAGCCCTTACAACGGCGCACATACACACACACTCAGTCAGTCAGTCAGACTGTTGATCACAACAACAACATGACGCAGCAACTCCTCCAGATAAATGTCAACAACGCAATTAGCTATGCAGAGTTCATGCATTCTACCACTGTGTGCGGTCTATAACGACACGATGCAACTCCGTCCATAGACACTGAGAATCCGCTACCAGCCACTGCTGCCATGGTCCAGACACAATCACACACTGCTGGTAGTAAAACGCTCTTTTCATACGTCATTCCAACGGCCACAAAAGCCAGTGGATGAATTAAAACGGTTTTGTGTGTATTTGGTTGCTGGAATTTTGGTATATTATGTCTAGCAGAAGTCCAACTTGTTCATTTGGAATGAGCTTTGGGTAAACTTTGGGTCGGGGCTTTGACCTCAACTTCCCAGTTGTAAGTATTCCTCACTGTTGTTTTCTGCAAAACCGGATCTGTTAGTGTAGTTTGGACATGAAGTATGTCAAAGGCAAGGACAATGTTGTGGCAGATGCTCTGTCTTGTGCCCCAGCTGAGTTGTGTATTTTTCTTTCTGGCTTACTAGTGGTCAGCCAGATTAATGTTATGAACCTGTAGGTAGTAGGTTCTGGGTTCCCCTTTTGGGGCCCCCATTTTAAGGGAGGGGTGGTCTGACACCTGGCCAGTCTTTATCCCTTGCATGTGAAGAGCTGAGAGTGATTGCAGTAACTCTTGGCACCTGGGCTAATTGCCCTGTAGAGTATTTGTAACGCCTTATTGTCATTCTTAGTGACGATACTGCTGGGCTGAGGTCGCAGACCTCCCTGCTAACTTACTATCCTCTGTTTCCCTCCACAGGTTCCAACTTTGCCTTGGTTTCTAGACATGCTGTTAGTTGTAGCTATTTTTTTCTTGCACATTACAACACCCTTGCACAAATTTTCCATGCATCCATCATCCTGCCCTAACATGACTGAAACTGACTGATGTTCATACCCAATAATTTATCACCTTTATTTTGAAACAAGTCTCAATTTGGCTTATTTTGTGTTAAATAAATATATTTTGTTAAATGTTTACCATGGTGTGTATCCCTTTTGTTGTGGCCTTCTTAGCCAGGTCATGACAATAGAGAAACACTAGAAGCTTGCTGGCAGTTACTGAGCTCTTGTTTTCTTTAAACTAGAGTTGCACAAATGTACTTTAAGCTTTGTTTTTAGGAAATATCCTCAGAGTTTTGGTAAATATGTATTCAGTCTCATGTCTGTGTGAGTATGTATGGAGCTGAAGTCAGGATGAGTTTGGCATAAAGAGCTACCAGAAAGAAACTCCTAGGCACATCTACTAACACAACTAGAGTAAATGCTCTATATTTGTATAGCCCTTCTAGTCTTTGCAACCACTCAAAGCGCTTTTACACTACATCTGCATTCACCATTCATACACACTGGTGGAACAGCCACCAGGGGCAATTCAGGGTTCAGTATCTGGCCCAAGGACACTTTGACATGCAGCCTGGAGGAGCCGGGGATTGAACCGCCAATCTTTCAAGCTTCAGCTTCCCCAATAAAGCTCACTGAATAACATGTAGTATCAGAGACAAGCAGACATGTAAAAATGAAAAGTTGTGGTTTTAGGGGGAATTATGTGCTGGAACTATAAACAACAGCCAGATGCAGTGACTTACAGCATTGACAATATTCTTATTTTAGAATTAGACTCCAGTGTTAATATGTAGCGGTATTTACCTAACGAACTCTGCACCTGGCTCACAATCGGTGCAGTGAATGTGTGCAGTTTCCTCACAGTGAGCTTGTCAGGTTAGGTAGGTTTATTGTCACAATATAACAATTTATAGAGTGAAATTTAGTTTTGTAACTCCCTTCTGCTACATAGCAGACAATGTAAATGGTAAACAGAAATAAACTATTATCACTGGAGCAGTGCTGAAGATGAATTAGAGTCTGATAGCTTGGGGGGGGGAAAGCTGCTCTGTGGTCTGGTGGTGCGGCAGCAGAAACTTCTATCTCTCTTCCCAGAAGGCAGCAGGGTGAAAAGGCTGTGGCTGGGTGTGTACTGTCCTTTAGTATCCTTTGGGCTCTGCAGGTACCTCACCTCACCGATATCACTGATGCTTGGGAGATGGGTACCAATGATCTTCTGAGCAGTTTGAATCACCCGCTGCAGAGCCCTCTGGTCCTGGGCCGTGCACATCCCATGCCAGTTTGTGATTACATACCATAGGTTACATACCATTGTCCCTGTACAGAGACCAAACCAAAACCTGTGCTCACAGACCGGAAACACATTCTATAGCCAGATTGATATCAATCTCCTCATCTCACTCTCAGAAAGAAAGCAAAGCATATTTCTCCAAATGTTGAACTATTGTTTAAAATCCGTCATCTGTAATCTAGATATTTTAAGACTTTTTTTGAACATGTAGACACTGAAAGAATTTCAGTTTCATGTTGCTACTAGAAGCTCCAAATGAGTGATAACTCTTTGGTGTGCTCATGTTAAATACTTGGATTTCAAATTGGTGTATATGCTGTTAACATTCAATGACCATGCAGTTTATTGTGATAAAGGATAGCGCAGCGGTGCATGGTGTACGTGTGTTTCAGTGTGTTTGTTTGGCAATGGGCAGTATTTTACTTCATCATGGAAATTCAGATTTATTGATATCCAGCAGGCAGGCCAGTATTGACTGCTGCTGACACAGGGCACACTCCACCCAAGTCAGTCAGCAACACGCGCACAGCCATGCAGTCAATTACATGCACTGACAAAATGCAGAGCCGCTGCAAGATGCAGATGCTCAGGGCTCTTTGGTACTTATCAATATTACATCAAGAATCACAATGTCATAAGCCAGCAGAACAGTTTCCATGAACAGTCCATTAACAGGCACATGTGTATGAATGTGATCATCCTTGCTGTACACTGTTACCAGCCACAGAGTTTTTTTCACAGTGGACATTTTGACATGTCACTACAGGAAAAGTATAGGTGTAACTTATAACATGAAAAATGGATGCATTTCATTTATGTGTCTCAATGTCCAGAGCTCTGGTATGGTGTAAGGTTACTGAGAATATAGCCATCATTTAAGTTCAGGTTTGTTTGTCATTCATCCACACACAGAGTATACAAATGAACTGCTGTTTCTCACTTTCGAAGTTGCTAAAAACAAAGGTACAACAATTAGCTATTAGAATTCAGCCTTCAATGACACTAACCATTGAGCCAAAGAATGAAAAAATCTTGCAAACTGTCAAGTCAGTTTAGCATTTACAAATGAAAGACTGACCACTATGTAGAGCATTTAATGAAGGAAAACAGCCCACAGAGATGAAACTGCTGTCCAACTGGAATTAATATTATTTCTGAAACAACTGAATTGTTGAATCTCAACTAATAAGCTGTTGAAATGTTACAAATACCCTATAAACTATCTCTAGACAGACTATCTAAACAAAATCTAACCTATTAATATTAAACAAACATTATACTTTTTATTTAATGTGATAATATTATACTAATAAATACACAAATTTATACTAGTTACTCATCCAGGTTGTGGATAGTGCATCAGCAGTGCTACTTCTAACCACCTCCTTGTAAGAGCAACATGTTCCCCTTGTTCTATTTTACATCTGTTACTAAAGTTATTGTTGTAATATAAATATATAATAATAATATATACATAAGGTCCCAGATGTTCTCATTGGATTCAGGTCTGGGGAACGTGAGGGCCAGTCAATGGCATCACTGTCTTCGTTATCCAGGATCTGTGTCTGGTCTATGTGGCCCTCCAAGTATATGCCTCCCCAGACTATCACTGACCCACCGCCGAACCGCTCATGCTGGTTGATGTTGCAGGCAGCACAACGTTCTCCACGGCGTCTCCACACTCTTTCACGTCTGTTACAAGTGCTCAGTGTGAACCTGCTTTCATCTGTAAAGAGAAAGGGGCGGCAGTGGTGGTCCTGCCAATTCTGGTGTTCTCTGGCGAATGCACATCGAGCTGCATGGTGCTGGCCTGTGAGTATACATCCCAGTAGACTCCACTCTTATGGAGTCTGTTTCTGACAGTTTGGTCAGAAACATGCGCACTGGTAGCCCGCTGGAGGTCATTTGGCAGTGCTCCTCTGGTTCCTCCTCGCACAAAGTAGCAGATACCGGTCCTGCTTCTGGGTTGATGCCTTTCTACGACCTTGTCCAGCTCTCCAACAGCCCATCTCCTGGTATCTCCTCCATGCTCTTGAGACTGTGCTGGGAGACACAGCAAATAGTCTTGCGACGGCACGTATGGATGTGCCATCCTGGAGGAGCTGGGCAACCTGTGCAATCTGCTGCAGGTAACACCTCATGCTACCAGTAATGACAAGGACACTAGCTAAACGCAAAACTAGAGAACGTTCAGTCATGAAGGATAAGGAGAGAGCAACTGCCTGTAGCCACCAGCTGCAGAGCCAATCTCTTTTTGGGGTTGTCTTGCTGTTGTCTCTCCAGTGCACCTGTTGTCACTGCAGGTGAAATTGATTCACACTCGCTTCTACTTCCTCACTGGATGGATTCCTATCTCTGAAGTTTAATTGACTTGATGTTATACTGTGACGATGAAATGCTCCCTTAATTTTTTTGAGCAGTGTGTTACTGTATGTATATATGTACTGTATCTCACAAAAGTGAGTACACCCCTCACATTTTTGTAAATATTTGATTATATCTTTTCATGTGACAACACTGAAGAAATGACACTTTGCTACAATGTAAAGTAGTGAGCGTACAGCTTGTATAACAGTGTAAATTTGCTGTTCCCTCAAAATAACACATCACACAGCCATTAATGTCTAAACCGCTGGCAACAAAACTAAGTAAAAATAAGTAAAAATGTCCAAATTGGGACCAAAGTGTCAATATTTTGTGTGGCCACCATTTCCAGCACTGCCTTAACCCTCTTAGGCATGGAGTTCACCAGAGCTTCACAGGTTGCCTGAATCAGACGTTTCCTGTAGTTGCAGATCAAACCTGAACAATGGTCAGGAGGAATGCTGGAGCATTCCTCTATACAAAACTGTTTCAGTTCAGCAACATTCTCGTGATTTCAAGTGTGAATCGCTCTCTTGAGGTCATGCCACAACATCTCAATCGGTTTGAGGTCACAAGGTGTATTTTCTTCTGCTGAAGCCAATTTGTTGTCGATTTACTTCTGTGCTTTGAGTCGTTGCCCTGTTGCATCACTAATCTTCCGTTAAGCTTCAATAGGCGGACAGAAGTCCTTACAGTGTCTTGCAAAATTTCTTGATAAACTTTTGGAATTTTTGTCGACGATAATGTTTGGCCATAATAACTATTTTATTTTATTTTTTCTTCTGAGCTAAAGCTTTGTTTCTTCTTGTGAATGAACAGTACTGAGAACCGGGAAATCCCGGATTGGAGTTTCTTGTTTTCGTTACAAACTGGACTTTTTCATGTGAAATTGGACTCGTTTATAATGCTGTTTCCTTTGGCTTTAATATAACCTAAGAAGGAAATGAAGTGAATGTGTGGTTGCATTTATTTTTTTACCTCTGCTTTTTAAGAAAAAGTAAACCAGTTTGTGCTGTGATTAACTAATAGAAGGGTATTGTTTAAAAAGACATATATACTTTGTGAGGTTTGATATGCAGGCCTATCGCTACTTATTGCTACTTACTCTACCATACTCCGTGTGTGCATTCACGTGGTCCTCTTCTTTGGTGTGTTCATGAGCTTTAATGTAGAAGCAGCATGGACGCTACAAAGAAAATGTCTTTTATTGCTCAGAGCATTTAAACAACACGTTGATAGCTGTCCAGTATGTCAGCAAAAAATGTATATGCCATATGTGACTTAATAAAAGAGTGCCATGTTATCAATCCAACATTACTTTGGTCCTCCTTTTTCTGTGTAATATGACATCAACTTGGCAAGTCATGTACCGACATTTTTGCTTTTCCTAGTTGATGTTCTGACTTGGGAGGGCCTTCACGTGAATGTTCCCTGTCTGGAACTATATGAATGCAGGGTCAGTTTAGAGCAGCATATTGGCTGAAGCTCAATATCCATTTATTATGAAAATATTAGCACCTAATAACCATGTAAACCCTTAATCTGATAATTTCCTTTCTAGTTGGATTAAATCTGTGCTTTCTTTTTTGTTGCCTTTTTTATTTGCCCCACATTTGGGTAACATGACATGTGATGTGAACAAGTTTCTGGAAGGGACATAAACATTGCCGTAGCAAAACAATCTGTGGCTAACTTTTCTATTGGAGAGTATGCTGCATTCACATGGACAGACAAACAACAAATACTGCACAGCACAGAATGACAAGACAGCAAAACAAAACATGCATGACGATATAATGCTGTGGTGATGTCAGCTACACAAAGTTAATAGCTAGCCAGATAGCTGACTAAGCTAATATAACATAATACACATTCCATATTACCTAACTGGTAGTCCACCCAGCCCTGTTCTGATCGCTGGCAATATGCCAGCTTTTTCTTGTAATGTCTCTGGAGGATTTCAAGCTCAAGTCTACCATTACTGGTATTCCCTGCTGGCCTCACATAATTTGTCCGTTCTGCACAAATATTTGATTAAATGCTTTGGGATGTAAACGCACATTTTATTGGATAACTTTATTTAGCGTCCATAAAAAGAAGTTTTAAGTTTGAATCTCTAATCAGAATGATTTCAGTCATGTTGGGCATGCTTCTCTCTGGTGGGGGCTCCTTCCCCGGATGTAATAGCTGCTATTATTAAGCTGGGCATAAACATAAATTAGGCTGCCACTAAAAGCATGGTTAGTAGGCTGTACTGACCTGCAGCAGTTAGAGTTTGTAGAAATAATTTGCTTTTACATTCCTAATTGTGTTTGGGTCAGGTCTTTCCAAAGAAGCTGGTGTCTTTCTCCACCTGGATCGACCACACCCGCTGGGCTCGTAACACCTGGGCTATGGCAGCCATCTTCATCCTCACCATGGCCGACATCATGGATATGGTGAGATGCTCTCTGCTGTTTCTTGCAACTACAAAAGGCCAAACCACTGTGGGGATGTGTATTAATTCTGTTAGTGAATTTTGTGCTATTGTGATAATGATTCTGAGCTCATGACTCACATTTCTTCGCTGTCTAGCTGAGTTGTCTGCCTCGAGTCTCAGACACAGGCAGCCCCACTATGGCTCCCTCCTCCTCCTCCTCCTGGTCTGGCCCTGACAGTTGCTTGAACAACCCCAAATATTACAGTTACATCGCTGTGCTGGCATTGATGGCCACCACCATGCTGGTTCAGGTCAGTCACATGGTCAAGCTGACACTGATGCTGCTCATCACAGTGGCCACGGGCATTGTTAACATCTACAGCTGGAGGGACATCTTCGACCGCTATGACATGGACCGCTTCCAGAACTACAGGTGAGGCTTTTTCACATCCAAACTCTGTAACGGTGGATAAAGGGAAACGGTTAACTGGAGAAACAAATACATGAGGTGCATGCGCAAGTATTTTGGAATCTTAGTTTCATGTCATCATGTGTTTGGGGTTATTCACAGACAAGTATTTCAATAATCAATGTGTCAATGTTCTTCTTCGCAGGTTATACCTGGTGCCTTCCAAATTCACAATGACAATTATGATCTTCATTATGATGGTCAGCTTCTATTATTTCTCCCGACATGTAAGTTAATGTCTCTTGTGTTTGCTTTTCTTTAACAGCAGTACAGCTGCCAATGATGGTGTCAGCAGCACAGTGCTATACTGTGGCAGAAATAAAGATGGAAAGGGTTGATATGGAGTTATGCTAAAAGTGGTATTTCTAAAGTTACAGGAAACTTGATTTAGAGTCTCATTTCTTCATGTAGGAGTACATGTGATGTTCTGGGCAAAGCTTTTAAGGTTACAGGAAACTTCCAGTAACCACTAGATTGGTGTGGTGTGATTTTTCAGATTTTTCACAGGTAGTATGTGTTAGGTAAATTTTGCTTTCAAGTAGTTTGGGACAATTGTAGTCAGAAACTTCTGTTTATTACAAATGCACCGGGGTTCATTAAGCATCAAACTAAGAAGAATAACTCACTATGTGTGAGTCTGACCTTTATGCCGTCAGTGAAGGCTGAGTGCAACCTGTCTCTCTGTCTCTAGGTAGATAAGTTGAGTGTTGGTGTGTGTGATTCTTTGTGTGTTGTGTTAAATCCTTAGCTACTGGAACGTTCGGTCTGGATCACTTCTCGTTTTTCTTGCCTTAGTTACTATTTTCTTAGAACCTAGACTAAACAGCACTTCATCTGTGCACAGAGATAGCATTTCTAAGAAATGCAGCTTATAGCAAAGTTAAACTCAGGTCCACATGTGCAGCTGTAAGAGTAAAACATTGTACGTGACAAATATTTGTGCTATTTTAATTAGAAGAACACCTCACTCGTTGCTTAAGCTCCACAAAACGACCTGCGAAACCCTTCTGAGCTAAACCATTTCCACCTGTGTTTGTTTTGTGTCCAGATCTGCTAAAATTCTCGCTGCACACACATCTCCTCCTCATACTTTATCTCTATCATTTAGAATAAACTTTTTGCAAACGTTTCATGGTAACAAATTCTCCAGATGTTTCAGCTGTAGTAGTCCTACATAGGGCTGTCCCCTACTAAAGATTTTCATAGTCTAACCAGAACGGAAATGTCCAGTCTTGTCTATAGTCACCGGTCTTGCGCCGACTTGTGCATGCCTGCTGAGAATTGCATGCATGTCACAGTTCCTCGCGGGACTATTCCAAGTACTGTTTAAAAGCAATATAATATTCTTTGGGAGTTTGTGAGGGTTCTCAGTCATCCAGCTCATAGTTATGAAAAAGTACATTAAAATCAATAGCAAATGGACTTTTGTCCCTCATCCAAGAGACTTCTTCAGTTGTGACTGACTGGTAGGGAAACTCAGCTATTTAACCTCTGTGGGGTCGTTGTCAAGATGTACCGCTGGTTCGTTAGTGTTCCTGGTTGTTCATAATGTTGATAAATGATTTGAACTTACCATGGAAAGGGAGGACACGGGTAGGGGGGGCAGGTGTGTATGTGTATATGTAATCTTTGGCATTAACATGGGCATGCGAGTGTACTGATTACCAAAAACAATTTCAGTCATATCTGCTTTCAGATCCCTATACTGGTATAACATTGGCCCCTGTTGCTGGCTGCAGGTGGAGAAGCTCGCCCGCACCCTGTTCCTGTGGAAGATTGAGGTCCATGAGCAGAAGGAGAAAGTGTATGAGATGAGGCGCTGGAATGAAGCACTGGTGACCAACATGCTGCCTGAACATGTTGCTCGACACTTCCTTGGCTCCAAGAAAAGGGATGAGGTAAGATCCTCTCATCCAGACACCCAGTCGGTCCTTACATCACTCTGTCTGTGGAAAGGAAATGGATCACTGATTCCAAAAGCCTTGTTATTTCACCTATTTCATTTGCTGTCAGTTTGAACCCTTTTCTGTTGTACTGCTCAAATAGTCAGTCCAGTGAATTATTAAGAAAGCCAGCATGTTTATCTGCAGAATTCTTTTCATAGTTATATTTTATTGAACCATATTGTAGTATTTCTTGTAACATTCAAGGAGTATTTCATCAACATTCCGGTTTTGTACCACAAACCTTCTGATGTCTTACTCTCCACCCTGTTAATCTGACCTGTTCCAGGAGTTGTACAGCCAATCCTACGATGAGATTGGAGTCATGTTTGCCTCAATCCCCAACTTCTCTGACTTCTACACAGAGGAGAGCATCAACAATGGAGGGATTGAATGCTTACGGTTCCTCAATGAGATCATCTCAGACTTTGACAGTGTAAGCTGCTTTCCTTATTCAGCTTCTCTGTGTTTTAGTAGCATTAGTTTCTGAGGACACACTGCAAGTGATTGGACCCAACATATGCCACATTTGACAAGTTGTGAAAGGCATTTAACATGTTGCCAGCTTTACTGCTGGCGAGGTCTGTGTGGTAAAGATTACGATTCCATTCATTATCCTGCCTGTCAAACATCTGCTGCCCATTAGGACTTTCTCTTAACCAAAAGAACAGTAGCTTGTTTTTGAAGTGGTTGGAGCTTGAGTCCTTCAGTCTGTGTAAATGTAACCTTTCGCTTGTATCCATGTCAGCTGCTGGATGAGCCTCAGTTCCGCTGCATTACAAAAATTAAGACCATCGGCAGCACCTACATGGCAGCATCAGGTGTCACCCCAGACATCAGCAATGGCTACGCCTGTATGAAGGTCAGCATGGTTACATGACTTCTTCAAGCTTCAGTGTGTGTCTGACTGAACTAACACGACAATTCACTCTGAACCTGTTAGAAGGACTTTAAATGAGAATGGAATGTGATGATACATGTGAATAATGTGGACATCAGGATACAGTGTGATCTTTCTTAGACTTCAGAAATGATTATGTCAGTTGTGCTAAAATGCTGATTGTCATCATAATGGTGGTGTTGAGGTGTAGTTTGAGCCGTTTTGTTTTTGTTTGACAGAAGGAGGAGCAGTCTGACAGAGAGCGCTGGCAGCACCTGGCAGACCTTGCAGACTTTGCTCTGGCAATGAAGGTCACACTCATGAACATCAACTACCAGTCATTCAACAACTTCATGCTACGCATTGGTTAGTATGTGCTAACCCCTCACCTGTGTGCGTGTGCGTGTGTGCTGTGCTGTGCTGTGCTTCTGCTCTTGTAAGAATGGAAAGCTAGTCCTAACAGCCCAGCAAGGAAAGATGAGAAGGAGAATTTATAACAAATTATGGAAAGACGACCGTGGTGCTCCCAGATCTCAACTGCACTTATCTAGGCTATGTAATTATGCGATGGCGGATGTTACTGTGGCCTGCCGTGGTGAAACTACAATGTTCTGAAGATGGACTACAAAAAGCGCATCTTTGACCTGTGCATTCATACCATGTTGTTTTAATGCAGTTGGAATGTTGGAAAATATTACTTCTTAAAGGCATATAGTAGGGGTGTGGAAAATAATTGATTTTTAGATGCATCAGGATGCAGACCTGGGCAATTATGAATCGATTCACAAATGTCAATAATCGATTATCTAGAGGTTAATTGATAACGTAATGTTGACGGAACAAAAAAGGCGGAACTCAGAAATGCGGAGGTGCAGCTCTGAACTGTCCATAGTGTGCACACGACAGAGACGTGTTCTCCCTGTTCAGCACACAGACAGACAGTTGTTGATTGAATGAGTGACTGCTGCTACTAAACTTTCACATGATCAATAGAATCAATGCACGACTAACGTTGATGATTTTCACTCACACACTGTGCAGCATGGTACCGCTTAGCTAGCGTCCTCTCCTCATTCTTCAAAGGACAGCTACGTGGCAGACGCCAGTAGGTGACAGCAGTGGAGCAGAGATGAGCGCTACATTTCAGTCTGGCAGTAAACTTACAGTGCAGGTCACAGCGTGTCCGTTAATTAAAGTCTATCTGTTGTTTTCCAACTGCTGGAAAAGTGAAGGCAGTCAGCGCTAGCTAACATGTCCTCTTCAGAGTGCGGTCTGGAAGCTGAGCAGGACGCTTTTTGGCTGCTAGTTCAAGTTCATTTGTTGTCATTCATCCACATACGGAGTACACAAATGAACAAAATGCCATTTCTCAAGGCCCATGGTGCTCAAAACAAGATTACAATAATCAACTTAGAAGACACAAACATGTAACTACACTAGACAAGATGACAAAAAAAGGAACAGATATATTAAGGTGGAGTGAAGGGGGTTAGCTGTAGCATTGTAAAGTTGTAGTTCAACCTGTATCTGGCTCTAGACTAATAACGGCAGCATCAGAAAAAAAAGGCAGAGGTCAGTAATAACCCTGTAATAATGTAATAATGCTATGTTAGCTACATTTACAAGTAACATTAAATATCTGTACTTCATTATTACAGATACTTTGCTTTGAAAGTACCAAGTAATCACACAGTGAGAAAAATACATCTTTATCCTATTTGTTTTACAGTTTTACTCATAATCTTAATGAGGTGCCTAGAAATTCCCACCCTTGAGGTGACGCATCATGATGCATTGAGATATCGAATCGAATTGTTGACCTGATAATTGTAATCGAATCGTGAGACCAGTGAAGATGCACACCTAACATGTAGGGCTAAAGGGTTGACACATTAAGTGTGCTTACTCCCACTCCCGCTCGCCCTCCTGCCCACCCATTTTTATCAACATGAATCCCAATTATTGTGTGTAAATAATAATACATTACATTTACTCAGGAGGCCATCCAGCTTGATCCCTGCCTTTATTAAAACAAGGGTGTCAGCATCTGTGACTGAAGTCAAATGAAGTAATGATATTGCTGAAGGCTGACATTATATTGACCAAAAATGACAAATTCAAACTGAGCATATACTGTTAGCCTACACATTTCAACATTATCCTCACTTGGATCATTTTACAAGACAAGTAACATAGCTCGTGTATGGATTTCAGTTATTGTTGACAGTTGAAATAGCAAATGGCAATTTACATGGTGACCTTGGATGGATTTCTTTTTTTTATTGTAGAAAATTCAAATACAGCACTTTAAGGCATGTTTCGACAATCCGAAACATATAATACTGTTGAAATAGTATGAGACTACAGCAAAGCCAAAAGAAAACAAACTAAAAGCAAGGAGGAAATTGTGAGTGTCACCTACGGCACCTGCTGTCCTTGCTGCCCCTGTTGCTGCCTCAGATGAACCTTGCTTAATGAGCCTTCCATTTCCCGATATGAAGAAATCCTTCCCAGCTGGTAAATAAGTAGTTAATAGAAGTAGTGCTTTACAGTTCGATTCCATGATGCAGTTGGTGTGAGACTTTGTCAATTGGACATACGCCTTTTTAAACTGCTGGTTGGATTTTGGGTTGTGTTTCCCACACAACATTGTGATTGGTGCCGAAATCTGTTCAAAAGAAGAACAACAATCCACCTCCAACAACTCTCTACATTTTTCAGCTATATCTGCGTCGTTTTTCTTCTAGGTGTTCCAGGCGTGATTTTAGTGCACTGATTTCTAAATCAGTATTTTCTCTAGTAATGAGCCTGGTTCTCACAAGTATATCTTAACATGTAATTTAGAAGTTAGGAAGATGTATTGCACTTTGCCAGAAGTTAGAGGCTGTAGTTGTACCCAGTCCTCTGATGGCCACACTGTGAAACAGCCTGGATGAGATAAACAGTTTGAATGATCTCCTGTGCCACTCGGTCGAACAGCTTGGGGGTTAAGTCTTTAGCTGTAGTCACTTCTCTTCTCAACCAGCATGTCATAAGGGCGGATGGGAGAAGTTGTTAAATACAGCATCCGCCTCCGCAGTCCAGCTCAACTCCTCCAATCACTGAGCCGACCTTCATAACCAGTAAGGGGGAAAAATCTATTTCTGGCGGAATCCACGTCAAGCAGCACTGAGCAGATGAACCAGGCAGGAAGTCAGACACAGAACGGCACAGAGAATCAGGTCGATTTTCAAAATAAAACACCCTTTGCAGACTCCCAATCGGACAACAATATACACAGTTAAACAAGAAACAGTTACTACTACATAGCCTACTTAACTATAGTAGAAGCACAAAAATCAAGGACAACTGAACAAATAAGCAAAACACTTATTCTGAAATGCTCCATGCATGTGGATATGTAACATAGCCTGCAGAGAGCGAGCGGGCTCACCGAGAGCTGTTATCCATAGTTGAAGCACACATAATAAATTAACATCATGTTAACGATGTGTAGGCTAAACGCTCCGCTGCTGAAACACTTCAGTGTGAGAGCCGCTGCCTGTGTCTGATCAGCTGGTGTCATTATTCCACATTTTCCTCCAGTTTCGTTTGTTGTTGTAAAATGTATACACCCAGTGCCCGCTCTGATTGGCGATCACATCTATCACACAAGGATGACAACGGAATGCGTGACTGACAACAGGTCAGGTGCGCTGTATAATTAACCTCCATTTTAATTGCTGTCGATTAGCTAATCACGTTCTCAAATCCCAATTTCAATTTGGAAACGATCTATCGTTCAACACCAATAACTAGCTTGTTGAGCTTTTTAGCGTCACTCGCCCTCATGCTCCACCACCAGTACATGGCAGCATAAAACAGGGCACTAGCCACCGCAGACTGGTAATAGGTAATCTCACATCATTTAACACTCTTAGTCTTGGCTATAGTAACCGGCAGTGCTTGTAGACGCAGCAGCCGGTAGCTCCTTCAAACTTCACTACACTTTTGTTTTTTATCGGTTTGTTCCGGCTTTATTGACAAAACTTGTGTTACCTCTGACATAAATCCAGTCATTGGAAGATGAAGATGGAGTTTTTAGATTAAAGGGCAACGGATCATGATCCACCGGGCCCAAACAACCGGACCAGGCGCCACGGAAGGTGCGCTGATCACTCAGAGGAGAGGAAAGAGAGCCAGGAGAGGAGCCATGCTGGTCCAGCTTGGGCTTAATTCTGCTCCTATATACAACTGGACAAAATGGGACTCATATTGACCAAACAACGGAATTCAGACACTGTTGTGCCCACATCATTACAGAGACCTGCCCCATCAACATCCCGGATCAAGCACTCGGCAGGTGTACCATGTCAGCGCAAGACTCCGGCAAGATGAGAGGAAGTGTTTTACATCGATGATGCTTGGTGCTCAAACACAGTCAAGATGGACTCTGTTTCCCAAATGTCATTGTGAAGATGAAACTTTCATATTATCATCTGGTTACTGCAGTTTACATTGACCCCAGATGCAAATTCAAAAAATGCACTGTGGAATGTTTTGGGTTTATACATATATGTATATATTGTTTTGTTTTATTTTATATGTTACCATATTTTAATATGGTTAATAAGTGTTAATATGTTAACACTTAATTATAGGCTCTGTTGTATGTGTAGCAAGAAGGAACTACAAATTTCGTTTTGTTATGCAGCCTTGTGCTGTGTAATGACTAATAAACAACCTTGTACATGTCACATGTGTCATTACTCTCCCACAGGTCTGAATAAGGGCGGAGTATTAGCAGGAGTAATTGGTGCCCGAAAACCACACTACGACATCTGGGGCAACACTGTGAACGTGGCCAGTCGCATGGAGTCGACAGGGGTTATGGGAAACATCCAGGTACAGCACTGAGCTTTACTGCAGGTCTCTGGATTACTCAACACTGTTTACACAGCTTTCAAAATGAATACTGTTCAGAGTATGTTTGAAGCTTTGGTGCAACAAAATAATGTTTAAGATAAACCATATTTTAATCCAGGTCTATCCTAGGTGAATGTGATCCAGTGTTTTTGAATAGGTGGTGTATTTTTATTTGTGTATGTTTACATATAATGGCTAGAAGTGTTCACCTCACTATATTCTGTACATGTTCCTTCTAAAATTGGTGTGAAAGGAAATCAAGAGGATGTGTAAGGAAATGTATGTGTCAAACTACAATGGCAGTAAAATTAAATTTTACATTTAAATGACATAAATAAATAAAAATAAACTTTGCGAAAGTAATCATGTTTTCATAAATCATTCTCAGTAAGACATTTTGTTTTTAGAAAAGCACAAATATGACAATTCCTGTGGGGAATGTCCCTTCTGTACTGAAGAAAAGCCTTGCCACTAAGGATGATACTGACTTCGGTTTGTGTAGTTTAAAGAACCAAACTACTGTCCTTCCATCAGTACTGACAGTCCAGCTTAAGAGACACGTATAACTCTAAAAAGCCACCGTACACAGTCTGCTCAGCAGCAAACAGCAGACAGTCAGAGACGAGCTAATGAACATAGTGAAGCAGAGCCGGATATTTCCCTCTGGAGCTGGTGGAGACCTAAAACAGAGCTAACAGAGACTTACATTCATCAGGCAACACAAACAGGACTTGACGTGAATATGAATGTTGCTCTCTGTCTGCAGGATGTGTTAAAAGGTCATTGTTGGTTAACACATTTATCAGGACACTTCTATGAGACGATACTGTTTCAGGGATGTATCTGTTAGCTTGTTTGCAGAGTTTTTTTGGTCCCCTCTGCTCCTGAAGGAAAATAAATGGCTCTGTAGCTGCTAAATGCTCCACTATGTTCACAAGCTCACCAGCAATTATTACCTCTTTATGATCAAACTATTACCCCTTTATAACCAGTTATTAGCAAGCTGGAATGTAAAGTGCTACCACAGTTTTAAATAAATGTGTGTTTTTTGTTATAAAGGGTCTGAAAGCTGTGTAATATACTTGTGTTTCAGGTGGTGGAGGACTGCTACAACATCCTGAAGGAGTATGGCTTCCGATTTGTGAGGAGGGGGCCCATCTTTGTGAAGGGGAAAGGGGAACTGCTCACTTATTTTCTGAAGGGAAGAGACAAACAAGGCTCTTTTATCAACAGCTCCTCTGTCACTCTGCCACACCAGGTGGTGGACAGCTAAGGGCCACACTCACTCATATGTGCACACACACACACACACACACACACACACACACACACACACACACACACACACACACACACGTTCAATATCTAAGGTATATGTGCAAGTAGCGATTGTACTGAAGAATTTACTGAAGAGATTAGAAACTGAGTGCGTCAAACACATAGATACAGACTAAATTGTATTAAAACAATACAAAATAAAAATAATTATATTAATAAAGGCAAGTATAGATGGGATAGGCTGGCAGCAGCAAAGTCATTACATGACTTCATGCCCCCTAGTCGAGTGATGGCCACATTTTGTTTAATTTATAAATTTCATTTAGAAGTTGAATTTCATTGATAAAATGTAAGAAAAAAGCTTTCTTGCAATGTTAAGAAATATTTTGAAAGAAATCCTGGATTTGCACCAAAATGAATCACGTGTTTCTTGAAAATGACTTACCTTTTCACCAAATATAGTGGGATTTCCTGCTAATCAGCAAACAGACAAACTGATAGTGACTTGAAATTGAATGTAATTAAACAGCCAGTTCACCCCCCTTACAAAAAGAAAAGTAAAGCAGTGATGAATGGACACTCGCATACTTCGTGGGAGTGGCTGATGTGGTATCGTTATTGGAGACACAGATTTGAATTTTCACAGCTATTGGACAGTGCATGAATAAGCTGGAGATGACATTGGATATCATGTATAATACATTTACCGGAGGTCATCTGACATGGATAAACATTTTCATGAATATTGGACACTGCATGAAGGAGTTAAATATCACTTCCTGTGTCAACTATGTGGCGCTAGAGAACACATACTAATTTTACATTATTTTTCTGCATACCAAGTGGAGACCACACAATGAAATTATATATAAATCAAAAAAAGCTTTCTGCTACCAGTCGGTGGCGCTATGACTATGCCTCAATATTGGCATGTAGATGTCTTTAGGGACTCCTATCAAGCATGTGATTATTTGGGGCAGATTAGACAATGTACACTCAAGTTACAACAAGTTCCATAAAAACCACGTCCGTAGTATTGTGAAGGTCTTTACACTTCGCTGACCAAATTTGGGGTGGATCTGGTTGAGCTGCTAGAAGGACTTCCTGAAAGTATAGCACCTTTTTAAAATGGCACACTTAAATCAAAATGGCTGATTTCCTGTTGGGTGTAGGGCATGGCACCAAGAGGCTTTTGTCTGGAAAAGTACTTACCAAATTTTGTAAAGCTAGGTGAAATGTAGATGTGTGTGCCAACCCTAAGCACTCAAAAATGCAACTGAATGGTAAAATGAATAATAATTCCTGAAATACAAAAACAATACATAAATACTTTCTCCTTTGCCTGTGTGGTATCTAGTCTTGCAGATAGTTTTGATTTTATTTCCTTAGGTGCCCCAGAACCTTCTGTCCTCACCTTAATGTAATAGAGGGGAATGAAATATTATTGTTACTGCAGTATGGAACTGGAGGCTTGTAGAATGTTTTCACACTCTACTGTGACAAAGCAAAAAAACAGCCTCTCCATACTGACAGTGTATATAAACAGTGTTGGGCAAGTTACTCAGAAATTGTAATTAGTTGCTAGTTACTTATTACTCCTTAAAAAAGTAATAATGTTACTTTACTTGTGACTGGGTGATTATTTTCATTACCACCCCCCCCCCCCAAACAAAGCATTCTCTCCCAACTCCCGACTTTTTAGCTAATATCATATTTATAACAGCAGCAAGGACTATGGTTTTTATGCAAGTCTCTCCTGACTTTTGAACTACTGTTCTTTTTTGATAGTAGACAATAAACTAGAGGAAGGGGGTGTGACATGCAACAAAGGTCACCAGCTCGAATCAAACCAGGGACATGGCCGTTTTGTGGTATGCTCTGTAATGTAACCATTCAGCTATCGCAACACCCCATGTTAAATTCCATTTCGGTCACATTCAGTTTTGTCTTAGCGCAAAACATTTGAATTGAGTAATTCAAACAAAAATGGTGTTTTGAATTCAACATTTCAGCATGAGGATGACTAACATGCCTAATTTAAACCGAAATAATTTAAAAACAATGATGGTCTTTAATTACTTTTTGTAAATGTCTCTCAGATAAAAACAGAACATTGATCTCACACACACACACACACACACACACACACTTACTAGCCTTTTTGCAAACACACCAGTTTTGATGCCATCTCCTCAGCACATTAACGCTATGTGGCTTTTGGACATTCTGGACATTTCTACCCATACTTCCATGTACAGGAACCTGATTGACTGATTTGAGTTCACATTTTCTGTCTCTGACGAGGAAGAGGATTTGGAAGTGGACCAATGAGAGGCTAGAGTGTGACAGTAGAGACTGATCTGCCACCTGCTGCTTGCCCATGTGTGGTTATGGGTGTGTATAAGAGTGTGTGCGTTGCTCATAGTGTATTTTTCCACAGTCGCAGTGTTCTTTCTCCTTCGTCTGATCTGGGAACATGTCAGGTCTGTCAGTACTGCGCTCTCCTCTCTGCTCCTGGACCTCTCTACACCGCTGGCTTCTGGACTTTGCTATGCGTCTGTACAGTGTGATGTAGGTGAGGGACAAAAGTTAGCACACATGGCAGAGAGATTTTTCACACGGATTGTGGATTGACGAAAGTGCCTATTGCAGCTATGATCGCCATGTTTTAATTAAATTGAGGAATTCCCAGGCCCTCTACAAGCGAGGGAAATTTCCAATGCTGTGAAAAGATAATTCCAGTTCATTAAAATCTTTGTAGCACATTAGAGTCTGTTAGACTAAAATGGTATAGATAATCTGATTAAAGCACTGGGTTTGTATCCAACATGTCTGAATGTCTGACTGCTTGTGTTTCTTGACCAATTAGACCAAATTTTAATTGTATTTTTATTTTAGACCTTATGACATAAAATCTTGGCCTTGACTTGAAGGGGCAATATGTAGTTTTTCAATGAAATCACTTATCAATAAATCAAATTCTGCCTTATTGTCAATGGGCTGTAGCCTCATTTAGAAATTAAGCACACACCTTGTTTCTTTGTTGCTTGCATCAGCCACTATTCTGCTTTTAATGTGAAGGCACGGGGTCGCGATGTAGCCCTGTGCGCGCCCCCGAGCCTCTCTCCAACTATACCGACAACACCGCAGCTAATGACATGCGGTCCACTAACACAACAAAACAACCGGCTCCCAGCACAACACAGACTCCAACATAAACTCCACATAAGGATAAAAACAATAAAGGTTCATGTGTTGACGCCCATCAGACCAAACGAGATTCAGATGATGTTGGATGAAAAGTGAAGTGAACCTCAGAAAGGCTGGCATCATGGAGAGAGTCACGCTAGCTTGCCGGCTAATGTTATGCGGTGCAAAATTATATCACTTTCCACATTACTTGACCCGCTAACGCGACCCTATTACTATCCTGTGTACCACCAGGATTATGTCAAAGTGTGTATTTTAACCGCTGTCACACTGCCTTTGGGAATGTTGAAGTAACAGAGTCTGAACACGTCTATGTGAAAAGCCACAGCCGGCATGCTGGTGTTTACGCATTTACTGAAAACTACATAATGCCCCTTTAATGGGTACCATATTAAAAAAGTCAAAAGGGACACAAGCTTTTATAAACTGGAATTTAAAGTACAATGAACAGCACCAAAAAGTTAAATTCATGAAGTTGAACTTGCTGCAGCCTTTGGATGCTGTTTGCACAAGATTTGGATCAATCTCATTTTCACCTGGTACTAAAATCCGATCTGTATCTGGCTCTCATTATCTTAACTCTGCTCGTACTGTGGTCGGATCGCGCCCAACGATTTAGGAAGGCGAGCCAGCTGACTTTCTGCAGCAATTGTCCAGTTTTGATATGACGTGCTGTCCATCTACAGTGCTACTAAGCAGAGGTTTCATCCATTTCGAAGTAACTTCTTGCAACGGAAGATATGCTAGATATGCTACTACCTGTAGCTTTTTGGTGGCCAGCTTGAGAAAGCAGGAAGAGGCGGAGTTAAGTGACCTTTCTTGTTTGGTGCACTTTTTTCTTCAGAATGTGGTCAAACTAAACAGACATTATTTACACCTGGCTAAGATCTGATCACAATGTGAGCTTGACCACCTCCAGATGTGGATTCTGTGTGTGTTAATACCTGGACATGTTTTCCATGATCCTGATAATGTGTCAGATACAGATGTCATGTTCATATCAAGTGGAAATGGGGTCTTACTTTTCTAATGCATTCCGGCCTGAAATTGCCTATCTTCTGTGTGTCTTTCTAGTCTCTGTTTGCTTGTTTGTGTGAAGGGTTGCATATTCCAAAATGAACACGTGTACACACAGGGTTTTGCATATACTAATGTGTTTACACTTGCAGGATATGGTCTGTGTGGTCAACAACTGTTTTGGGTACAGTCAAAATCTGCAAGATGTATGCATTGACCCTCACAGAGCTGGCAGGTGAAAAAATGTACATTACTCGAACCCACCTGGCTATTTGGACAGTCTAAGTTACACTTAAGAGGACATGTCCTCTCACAACTTTAGCAGGTCTGACCCTCCAGCTGAGTCATCTTGGTCCCTCTACCCAAGGTGGAAGTAAAGTTGAAAGGTTGATGCCAGAATTAACATGTACACTGGAAAAGTGTCTTAGCAGTCAAGCTTAGATAGCAAAAAAGGTTGACCTAATTACATGACATTTTGGAACAATTGCAGGCAAATGGTGTATTGGGAAATGTTGAACAAGGCTGCACAATATGTAAAAACAGGTCTGACTACACACGCAGGGATTGAAGCCCATCACTGTGCCTCCTTTTTGTCATTTTGCTTGCAACAACACACCAAATTGTTTGCATTTGGATAACATGTGACACTCCTTCTAAAGTTTGTATTTCCGATGTACCAAGGCGTTGATATGACAGTGAGCAGTGAAATGCAGAATGAGCAGGTGGCAGCTGTACTTCATGTGTGTTTTGGGTGGAAGATTTTAGAGAGCCGTTGCTCTTCTGCTGATTGTGATCCCATTAGTGTCTCTATAGAATAGGATGAAAGTGCAATAGTTTCTTCTACAAACCATGCGCTCTTCTCTTATGAAAAGGTTCAGTCACTCCCCTTTAATTCATATTTTTATAATGTAATGTATAAGTTTTGTTCTATTTAAAGAAAGGGAAAGAGGACTGAATGTATCCTCATTGTACATAGAGTTTAGACAGTGTTTATTGGATTTATTTATTGGAAAAGACAGGGACATCTTTTTCTTTTTTTTTTTTTTTAAACTGATGTGGAAATGCCAATGATGAAGGAATGGCTTTAGATGTAAAAGCCAAAACATGGACCATGGCTGTAAACTGATTTGTATTTTAAAAGAATCTCAGGCTTGGGAACGAAATAGCACTTTCAATAATGTATTGTGAACTTTTTTTAGCTAAGTACCAACAGAAGAACACCGAAATGCCATCTGGAGAGCCCACACCAGCAGGGCCAGCTGATGGCATCAAAAGGCAACACAATGTTTCTATCATGTGGTTCTGGTTGTTGTTACCATTCAGCTTTTGTCAGAATTTGATTCAAAACTTTGATCTTCTCCGTTTTTGTGAATTAGACATACTGTCGGTCTACTTAGCCTGTTCTGAGCAGTTGATTCATATTCTGTTTTTTGAGTTAAGGAATATCTCCCTCACCCTTTCATTTCAGTTGTTTGTCATCATAACCGTGAGTTGATTAAAAAAATCTAATAAAGATGAGCCTTCAGTGTCATGATTACTTCACAGTCAGTAGAATCATCAAGATTAAAACAAAAAGGCATGAAATATTTCAGTTTATGTATAATGAATCTAGAATATAAAAGTTTCACTTTGTCAAGATTTTCAACTTTTGAGATGCACCTGTACTATATCAGCAAGGTCTCTCCCAGGCAGACATTTCAAGGCAGACAGGGGTTTCCAGATGTGCTGTTCAAGCTCTTTTGAAGAAGCACAAAGGAACGGGCAACACTGAGGACTACAGATGCAGTGGTCGGCCAAAGAAACTTACTTTAGCTGATGAAAGACACATCATGTTTACTTCCCGTTGCAATCGGAAGATGTCCAGCAGTGCCATCAGGTCAGAGCTGCAGGAAACAGTGGAACACTGGTACACCCAACTACTGTCCAGAGAAGTCTGGCCAGAACTGGCCTTCATGGTGACTTGCAGCCAAAAAGCCTCCAACATGGAAACAAGGCCACACAACTAAACTATGCACAGAAACACAGGAACTGTGATGCAGAAGAATGGCGGCAGGTGTTTTGGACTGATGAGTCAAAATTTAAAATATTTGGCAGAAGTTAGTTTGTTGAAGGGCTGGACAGCAGTACATGAGTCTGCAGGCAGCAGTGAAGCATCGTAGAGGTTCCTTACATGTTTGGGCCTCCATTTTTGCAAACAGAGTTGGGGAGTTGGTCAGAATAAATGGAAAAAACCTATCCGTCATGGGGATGATCCATCGTCAGGGAGGCATCTGAGGCCCCAAATTTATTGTATTGGACTCCACCATAAATAAATGGCACATAAGTTTCTGTTATGCTGGTTTTGTCCACTACCATCACTACCTTGTTTAATATGTGTAGGAACTGCATATATTTTTGTCTTCTGATTTGAAGTAGTAATATATAGTAGTAATATATGTTCTGTGTGTAGCGTAATAGGGGCTACAACTTTCACTTTAATGTGCAGCCCTGTCCTGTAGAATGACAAATGAATTTACATTTAAATGAAGTGCCGCAGTGGTTTAGCGTCCCCTACGGGTGACGCAGCCCGCGCAAAAAGACGTGAAGGAATTTCCGCTGACGTCACTGCGTATGTCCAAAACAGGGCTGCAGCTGTCTGAGAGCAACAATAACAAGCTCTACCCAACAACTCCAACGCGGCTGGAACAGACTGACAGCGCCAAATACCAGCGAATTTCACAAAATGCGGCTGTCGACATAACTCAGACCTCCATTTCTTCGTCGTCGAAAAGTGGGTTATCGTCGCCGCCTCCTCCGTGAAACAAACACCGAGACTCGGCCGCAGGGGCAACAGGGCAGTTCTGGGCTGCATCTGGGTCAGTGGGCCTGTCGGCGGCTGGAACGGTGGTTTTGTTATCCCGCAGTGCCCCGTTGCGCATGACATTCGTTTAACGTTATATACATCGTGTCACCTGCATAAACCGTGGTAGCATGCAGACTAACGGGACAGCACAGGACCGAGATTCAGAACTGTCCTGCCGAAACGGTGAGCAGAACGGTGAGTCGTCCTCCAACGGACTTCTGTCAGTCACCAACAATGGAAACACTGTCAGCAACAACAACGGAGTGTCAGCCCAGTCTGCGTCCAACAACATCAACTGCACGTCGGACGCCACCTCGGGCGTCAAAAAGAAGAAGCGCCTGTCTCAGTCCGAGGAGGATGTCATCAGGCTGATAGGACAACATTTACACGACTTAGGTCTCAAGTAAGTGAGCCAGGCGAGCTTGTTCAGCCAGATGATTTGTCTTCCTCAGGTCTATCTTGCGGTTGGACAGTCACGGGGACCTGTGGACACGTTGTCTTCTTTAGGGAGGAAAACATCCCACATCTCATTTAAAAGATCAGACAGTTTGACGCTTTCTCATATCAGCAATGCGCTTACATGAATAAACATCACTGAATCCATGTTAGGAATCTGTAGCCGTACAGGTGTACTTAATCTTCGTGGAATACGTTTTCATAGCTCTGTTTGGGACGGAGCCCGCAGTGGATGAGAACTCCCGGATTGGGTTGAATTGTTTTTATGGAATTGCTTGAATTTTGAGCGGAGTTTGGCATGAGATATCAAAGATGAGTATTAAGTGAAGGGTAAACCTAACGAAACTGAAGTCACCCACCCTTCATGACCTACATTAATATTATACTGTAAGTACATACAGTAGGCTGCTATGTACTGTGTGTACTTGTTCATTCTTACCACAGGTGGAGAACTTAAGTATTTACAAAACAACAATGGAAAGACATGGATTATAAATTAACGAACAAAAAATAAGCAAGTACCTTGTGTTTTTTTTGTTTGTTTTTTGTTGTTGAGTTACACTTTCCCCACTGGGTTGTAAATTTTGGGTGAGGTCTGGATGACCTGCAGGGAAGGAGACCTTATGGAATGGGATCATGTTTTCTTTTAGTGTTGATGTGAACTTTTCTAGGTTTGCGTGGTCTGTTAACAGATTGAGCCAATAGTTTGTTGAGGATTTAGTTCTGTCTTTACAGTTAAGTAATATCATTTTCTTGGTCACAGTTAGGCTAATGCAATTAAGAGGAATGTTCTGTTTACAGCGGCATCTATGTGACTGAGTTTCTGTCAGTAATTTCAGGGTGATCAGAGCATGGTCTGAAAGAATCATACTGTGGATGTTGTGGATACTATTGCTCTATGCGTCAGTGAGGTGTTGACCAGAAATTAGTCAATGCAGGGGTATGTTTTATGGTATGAGGAGTACAAAGAATAATCAGTGGATAAGATACGTGCCTTTTGGTGTGAGAGACCCGGGTTCAATCCCCTACTGTGACACATCCACCAATGTGTCCCTGAGCAAGACACTTAACCCTCTAAATAGCAATTGTAAGTTGCTTTGGATAAAAGCGTCAGCTAAATGAATAATGTAAGGTGGTAGACATTTTGTAATTCAAATGTTACATAATGAACCACCAAAGGAGTGAGAGGAAAGAGGATATCTAAAACAGACTATCTTAAGTATTGGTTAATCTGTTTTTTTTCCCCAGATGAGGCAATTGTAGTCTATTCTTTGGGCCTTTGGGCAAGATACTGAATCCCTTCAAATATTTTTAGTCAATCCAACAGTCCAAAACCTAATGATACTTTTACAATGATATAAAACAAAAAAGCAGCAAATCCTCACACTGGAGAAGCTGCAACCACAGAATGATCTGTGTTTTTGCTTGGTAAATAATGTAAACCCTTAAACGACTGTTAAATAATTAATTAATAAAAAACATTGTGAATGTTTGCTCAACCCACCTGTTTTCCTCTTCACAGCTTATAGATAGTATAAGGCATGGGCCGGTGTGAGATTTTCACGGTATGATAATCATAAGCAAAAATATTGCGGAGTTGCGATTACAACTCTAAAATGTGTTCTTTTTAAATGAATGGTAAAAGACATTACCTTTTTCCATTGAACACAATATATTTTATTTTTAAGCAACAACATATACAACTGCTGCTAAGAATAATATCAAAAAATGCTATAAAATGGATTATTGTTATTTCAGTGTTGATGCACTTATGGGCCATTCCAGAATTGGAGGACAATTTAGTCATCAACACTTTTGAAAAATCAACCCTTTATTTTGTCATTTTCTGTTATGTATATAAGAAAAACTGGTAATACACCATAAAATAAATTGATCTATTCCAGCTCAGGCATCAAAGGTGCACTATATATTAGCTGTTTATTTGTTGTGTGCTATGCTTGGCGCAACCCTGTTACGAATACTCAGGAACCTCTAGAAGTATATTTTAAAATATTTGCTTAATAAATCCTTTACCATTAAATAAAGAAATTCACATTTACATTGAATACTCATTTAATTTTAGATAAGACTTTACTTATATTAATTTAAGCAACTTTATAAATCTATCTTGCCCAACTTTTAAATAGATCCAAGTTTTGTTTTATTAATTTCAGTAATTATTTTCAAATATTTGCTGATACACATTATGCGAGCTGAGAAAAATCATCATCAGGTTATTTTAATAAAAATTATATGGTAACAGTGACATAAATGTGATAAATAAATACTCAGAACCACAGGAGTGTTGTTTAAATAAATAAGATTTTATTTGGCTCAAGAGGATGAATAGGACCTCAAACTAGATCTGATCAAATATTCAATGTACAAACATAGAAGAGTCATACAGGCATGTAGGCAGACAACCTGGCATTAAAATGATCGAGTTATCAAAAACACTCTCGAACTGATCAATATTTTAGAAAGCTGATTTGTTCAGATGTTCACTTGGCTGGACAGACTATCACATCTCTCTCTTGCAATGGCCATGTGGCTCAATAATCCCATCCAGGTAGTTGATGCAACCTTAACCTGCTATGGTTACCTGGTGGCAATAAAATAAAAATATTAGCAATTTATTCTCGAAAATATGGTAATACATTTAAAACATGCAGATTTTGCAAAATTATGCATATATTTACTGTTCTTATAGATAATAGACCGTCCCTTCTGGGTGAACTGAAGGCGATGCAACCCTGTATCATGTTAGTGTAGCATTGATTTGCAACCCTGTTACTGTAATTACAGTAACAGGGTCGCAAATCAATGCTAATCTTTTTCTCAGGAATAGATGCTACATATGGAATGAAGTGTTACACTCAAGGTCAAGGACAGACTTAGTTATATAAATAAAAAGACACAACTTCAAAATAAATGTTTCTTATTCTGATAATATGAGTAACAGGGTTGCGTTGGTTAGAGTGACACACTCAATAATGGCTAAAAAGATTGGAAAAATAGAAGAGAGGACTTAACTTTGGGTTACCCATGGTGCTAGCAAATGACTTGGTGATGTCAGTTCCACTGTGTCATGTGACTCACTGTTTTTTCTCTTCCTTTGACAGGCTAAATGGGTTTTGGTAACAGGGTTGCACACATGTTGTGGGACACAACTTCTGTGCATAAATACTATTATTTAAAATATATTCATGATTTCA